AAAATTGAAACCCCAATTGGAATAGACCGTGTCCACAGAATCGGCCAACAACGAGATGATCTCTACCCTAGAGCTATTGTGGCAAAGTTTAATCCCTACAGTGGTAAAGAATTGATAATGTCAAAGGTCCATCATTTAAAGGGGACTGGTATGTTTACCGGAAATGCCTGTCTCCCGTTGAGATACATTTTATCTTCTACATGGAACAATGGAAAATTTGATAGTGAAAAATGGAAAGTTGTCAAAAAGATGATCTCAGATAAGTTAGATGTCAATTAGTACATTTCTCTTCTGAAACTATACTTGCAAGATGCAAGTCAATATTATGTAACCTACACTGGCTATGAACTGTTTGAGAACTTTACTCTATTATTCCCCTGATAACTTACTAACCTATTTTGGCTTGCTAATTTCCCTATAACTGTTTTACACTTATAGACTAGACTAATTTGAGGTAGGGTAAACCCAATACCTAGCATTTTGAACTCCTACCTAAATTTTGACAGTGAATATCAACACTTCAGGGCCAGTGTTTTTGTTTAGTTTTCTGCCTATTTGGAATGACCAGTTAGGCTGTTCATTTGATTGAAACTTTTATAAAGTCAATCCATTGTTTCTTTGTTTTTTTTTTAATATAAAAAGTTGTACATACATGCAATCACTTACATACAGCCAAATCCCAGTGTTCTGCATCATGTGCAGAATACTGTGATAGGGCTGATAGTGAGAAAAATTGTTTCCTTCAATTAGCTGTACAGGGCTGTTTGGGTAATTGCTACAAACAAAGTTTTCATTCTTCTTTGCCTAGACATAAAATACACAATAACACATTGGCTGAGTTAAAAACCAAGTTTTCATTCTACAATTTAGAATTTGTGTACTTGAAACTGGCAGTCAATTGCTATTTTTCAAGGCCAGTGTTTATTTTTATTTATTTTTGTCTTGTTTGCTGATTGTATACCCAGTCAGGTTGATTCAAGTCCTTATTTAGTGCTTCCAATGCACCAGTATACTGGGTATGGGTGTATTGGCATACAATTATTGACAAAATTATAACATAAGCTGATTTTCTATGCTGACAAAACTCTTTGCATTTACCAAGGCTATTGAGATTGTTTCAGTAAAGTATGATTTATTTTACTTGGCCTATTGCAGGCTACCTTGATCCATTCTCTTTCAGCAGTGGGATAACACTTGTCAGTCCTTACATCCCACTAATACAACTTGATTTTATGTTTATGTTTCTTTTTATCTTGTTTCTTTGTTGTGTTTCGAGTTTAGAATATAAACAATTTCAAAATTGTGGTATATATTATTGTACATTTATTGAAAAATGCAATATGAATTTCATGAAACACTTGTACGACAATGGCTAATTTGCTTGAAGAATTGCCATTTTTTTCATGTACAAATGTTGAGGTCTTAGATTTAGCATATGACTTACATGTTTATGAAAGTTTAGTATTTAATCCTATGGATTTAAATAGATTAATTGGAGAACCTCAAGATAATCCACCTGAAGAGCATACGCCAATGAGAAATATTATTGAACAATGTAATTATTTGAATTTAGATCAGCTTAATATTAACCTGGATAAAAGCAATGGTCTTACATTTTTACACCTAAATTCCAGAAGTCTTCCAAAGAATAAGTGGAAGTTTGATCTTATGCAGTCCTTAACAAAACATTCCTTCTCTGTTATTGCTATGTCTGAGACATGGCTTAACACGGAAAATGAAGCCAATTTTCAATTAACAGGATATAATTCTGTTTTTAAATCCAGAGTTGGTATTAAGGGAGGTGGAGTTTGTATATATATTAAGGAAAATATCATTTTCAAAGAACGTCATGATCTTACAATGAATTTAAATTCCTGTGAAAATGTAACAATTGAAATTACTCCACCTAATGGTAAAAATACTTTAGTATCTGCTATTTATAAGCCTCCAAATTCTAATTTGGCTATTTTCAATGATGAATTTAATGAATTCTTAAATAAAGTCACATCTGAAAAAAAGCCAAGTTATTTATTGGGTGATTTTAACTTAGATTTACTTAAAGCAGATGAACATAACTTGACAAATGATTTTTTATGCCATCTATATGAGAACAATTTTATGCCATTAATCTATCGACCAACAAGAGTAACTCATAACAGTGCAACTTTGATTGATAATATATTCACGAATGTTAATAATGTGACATCATCAGGTGTTATACTTTATGACATCTCTGATCATTTTCCAGTATTCTGCACCTCTTCACTTGAAAAACCATCTTATAAAAAAATCAAAATAAGTTATCGTTCATATTCTGATAAGAACTTAACCAGATTTAAAGATGAAATATGTCTCATGGAATGGACTGATTTAAAACAACAGGACAATGTCAATGAAGCATATTCAATATTTATTAACAAATTTACTGAGGTGTACAATAGATGTCTCCCAATATTAACTAAAACTGTCAAAACTTACTCTAACTTAGAAAGACCATGGATATCCCTGGGTATTATTACTTCAGCTAAGAGGAAAAATAAACTATATATTAAGTTTAAAAAATGTCCAACTGATGAAAATAGACTCACTTACACTAATTATAAAAATAGACTTAATCATATTATCAGGAATGCAGAAAAGCTTCATTATAAGAAAAAATTTGAAATTAGCAATGGCAATATAAAAAAGACCTGGGATGTAATAAACTCTATTTTAAAACGTAAACAACCTAAGAAGATCCTTAATGATAATTTTATCCATGAAGGAAGAAAAATTGATGATGGAAAATCCATAGCAGACAATTTTAATAAATTTTTTAGCACAATTGGTGAAAAGCTAGCTAATGAAATTAACTCTGATAAAGACCCACTTGATAATGTTAATAAAATCGAACGTAATATTAATTCAATTTTCTTGGCACCTGTTGATGTTAATACAGTCCAAAATCAAATCAAGAACTTAAAGGACTCAGCCGCAGCCATTGATGATATTAAACCAAAGGTTGTTAAAGTATTACATGATCATATAGCTGATCCTCTTACTTTCATTTATAACCTCTCTATGACCACAGGTATTTTTCCTGAAGAACTTAAACTTGCTAAAGTTATTCCAATTTTCAAAAAGGGGGAACATGATAAATTCACAAACTATAGACCAATATCTATTTTAAGTGTATTTGCTAAGATGTTTGAAAAAATAATGCATGACAAAGTATCTACTTTTTTAGAGAAATATGAATTATTGTATTTACACCAGTACGGCTTTCGGAAACATAGATCAACTTACATGGCACTCCTAGAATTTATTGAAAATGTCAGACATTCATTAGATAACAAAGAATATTGTATCGGAATATATTTGGATCTATCAAAAGCTTTTGATACTGTTAATCATGCAATATTACTTAAAAAATGGAACATTATGGTATAAGAGGAATTGCACTTTCATGGTTTTCATCTTATTTATCAAATCGAAAAATGAAAACTGAATACTCTAAAAGTTTATCCGAGAAATATTTGTCTGAAGAAGCAATCGTTAACTGTGGAGTACCCCAAGGGTCTGTTCTAGGACCCCTCCTATTTATCATATTTGTAAATGATTTCTATCTAGTTTCTGATAAACTCAAACTGGTGATTTATGCGGATGACACTAATATATTATGTAGTGATTCCAATCTTGATAATTTGACCACAACCGTAAATTCTGAACTGTGTGACATCAATGATTGGTTGTTGGCCAATAAACTCACTTTAAATGTTAAGAAAACAAAATACATGGTCTTTGGAAATAAAAGAAATATATCTGTGAACAATGAAATAAAAATTGCAAATTCTAACCTTGAAAAAGTAGATGAGATAGGATTCCTGGGAGTAATTATTGATTCAAAATTATCTTGGGCTCCCCATATCAATGCTCTTCATAGAAAAGTTTCAAATGTTATAGGAATGTTATATCGAACAAATTATGCTCATACTTTACATTCAAAGATGATAATATATAACTCTCTGATTTTTTCTCATCTTAATTACTGTAATATTTTATGGGGAAATGCTTTTAAGAATCTATTAAATAAACTACTGATATTGCAAAAGAAATTTGTTAGATTAATAACAAATTCAGATAGATTAGCTCACACATTCCCAATTTTTCAAGATCTTAAAATACTTAATATTTATCATATTCACACAATCCAAACTGTTTCATTCATGAAAAAAGTTATAAGCAAATCTGTACAGTTCCCTTCAAAATTATACGATCACTATTTCAAAACTAGAGAAAACATACATCAACGTATAACTCGATTTGGTCATAACTTAGATATTCCTAAACATAGAACCAGAATTGGTGAAAATTCTATTAAGGTCCATGGTTCATATATATGGAATTCCCTCAATGAAGATATTAGAAATAAACCATTAAATTCACTCATATCTCGTTTGAAAATTGACCTCCTGAGTACAGAGTAACCAAAACATTTATTTCATTTCTTTATTGTCTCATATTATTGTATTTGTATATTGTATTTATATTATATTATTGTATTGACCTATGTACCACTTTAAATGTTCACAGTTTATCATGTTTATTGTAAATTTAATTATGGGCAGTCATACACCCCCTGGGGTGTCATAGCCTGTATAATGTTGTAATTTTTGTAATGAAAACTGAAATAAATTATTTTGAAATTGAATTGAATAGCAGGTGTTCGGTAAAATACAATGCATAATTGAAGTAACATTTGTTGCACACATTTCATCAGAAACCTTTGTTCATAATGAAATACAGTTCATAAATTTGCAACTGTCAGGGTCCAGTTACACACTTTATGGTAGTATACTTGTAAGCTTCATACAATAATGATGACACAAACAATAATGACAACAGCAATGATGACACTGACAATTATGACATCAACAATGATGACACTGACAATTATGACATCAACAATGATGACATCAGCAATGATGACACTGACAATGATGACATAAGCAATGATAATGACACTGACAATGATGACATCAGCAATGATGACACTGACAATGATGACATCAGCAATGATGGCATCTTCTATGATGGCAGCAACAATGAGGATGGCATTTACTCAAACTTCACATATTGTGTGAGTTTACTTGGTAGCCGTAGCTCATGTATTCTATGTAGACGGTCCTTTCCTAATGTTTCCCTGATGTTTATTCTGCACCAGGATGCAAGAGACCTTGGTGAACCTGAAACACAGGAAGTTGATAATTATTATTATGTTGCTTTTATTTCCATAATAAAATGGATTTAACATGTAAACACAAACAACACAAATCAAGTGCAAATAAAATGCAACTACATGTACTGATCAGAGATTTTTAAGTTATAATGACCAATACCTGGGATAATATACTGTAAATCCCAGTCAACACTGTAGGATTAACCACAGATTGATGACTAAGGTTTAACCTACTGTAGTTTTACAAATCAAACGTCTCATTTTAGAGACGTCCTTGAAATATTAAAATAGCATGGGCGTTCCTATATACATGTATGACACTGACGAAGAATAATAAAAGAAAACAATACAAAATCTACAATTCAGTTGATGTAAATTATACATACACATTAATTCAGCTATATACTCTTCACATTCATTCTTCTTATTCATTTCTGATGCCTGTCTGTTCTTATCATCAACTGCGTAAATACATGCACCCATATCATATAGCAGCTGTGCATAGTCTATATCGGTATTGTGCCTCACTACAGCATGGTAGAGAGACTGACGAGGCATAGTGTGGCCCTTATTAGATGTGTTCCTGAGGGTATGGTCTGGGTCTGCACCAGCTTTAAGTAGAGCCTTGAAACAATCCAAATGGTGGTATGCTATACTTATGTACAGGGGTGTACTGATGAAAGATCCCATGCTGATTTGGCATCCATTCATGTCTGCTCCATACTTTACTAAAACCTAGAATAAATGTGTGAAAAGAATTTAAGCACAAGACTCAATGCACTGTCATGTTTCCTGGCCTGTCAATTTGGGCCTCTACCCTCATTACAAGTTTGATCCAAGACATTTGTGCTTTAATTTGTCCTTGGTGCGTCTAAAAGTTTACTGGAATTTACCTTTCATTTTCAATGATAGTAAATAACATAAATGGGTCATACCAATACACCTTCAATGAAGCCATCCATAGCTGCTATGTACAAAGGTGAACAGAGGCTCTGTATGTTTCCATTGGGATCTGCCTTGTTCTCTAGCAGTATCTTCACACAGTCTATATGCTTATTCTTCACTGCAACATAGAGGGGAGTCTGGGCTTTCACATCAGCGACATTCACCTCAGCTCCCATTTGAATGAGGTAGGATACACAAGCAGTATGACCAGCTGAAAACATTGGACACAAACTTACTATGTAGTGTACATTTCAGTTGGGTCTGGTAGGGTACATGGTAGCATGTATGGTAGTATGCCCTTTGCACTGACCACAATGCAGACAGGTGTTCCTCAAAGAGATGGCTAATTTACAAGTAAATCAATGGGACATATAGATGATCCTATTAACAGTGAGGCATTCAAAGTTTCAAACTGAAGGTTTTACTTATAGGACTTTTTTAATTTTGATGAGTTTTCAGTTTCTGACTGACCTTGACCCTGAAATGTCAACTTGACCCTCAATGTGCTCTATAGTATTCATAAAGTGCTTTCACCATTAGATGTTTAACCTAGATTTTTCATATTTCATCATTTGGATCTGATGACCTTATTTATCCAATCATTACATGCTCAGAATTAGCTAATGACCAAAACAATATCATATTAAAGCCACAAAAGGTCAAACTCAAATAACTAGGTCATCATCATTTAGATAATTTTATGTTGCATCAAAAGGTTAAAGACTCAGATGTTAAGAAAAAGGATTTACTAATATCACAAAATGTCAAGGTCATACTATAAGGTCAATGTGAAGGTCACTACTAATGCCAAAAACCTTTTTCGATGATATGTACATTCTTCAGAAGACCATTATTGCTGTGATCAATGTCAATGCTGAGGTGAACATTTAGTCAATGCGATTTGCAAGTCAATACCCTCATACAGGTCTTTCTATGCACATCAGCTTGTGCTCTATCAAAATACACAAAAAGTTTTAATGTGCTGGTAATTTACAACACAAATGTAATCTAATATTGTAGTGACCTGATGTATTCTCACAATTTTATGTGAATAACTAGATTAATTCAAATTGTTTACGTCCCAGCAAATATTGAGGTAATATTAAACACGTTTTCAGACATTACCACAATCACAATAATACAGGATTTAAGCCCAGGGCTCGATGATTTATGGATGATTTAATGCACGATTTTTGTATGCTAGCCTTTGACTTGAGCCCCAGAGTGAGTTAATTACATACTTACACTGTACACAATGTATTTTACCTGTTGATGCCAGTCTCAGAGGGGTGCATCCCAGACGATTCTTAAAGTTGATATCTTTCAATTGCTTCTGTTCCTTAAGTAATGATCTAAGCTTTGATAAGTCACCAATATAAGCAGCTTGGTGTATTATTGGATCCCTGTCGTGTATTGAAGCCCATTCATGATCAGAGCTCATGTTTTATTTGTAGTTCTGTCATTCACATTGATGCTGAATCCATTTACGATTACATGGAGAGGTCATCTTCGATCAACATTGTTCTGTTTACAAGATGTTGCTCTGAAATAAAAGTAGCAGTGCGACAATCAAAATGAAGATTTATAACGGGGGGGGGGTTGCTCTGAAATAAAAGTAGCAGTGCGACAATCAAAATGAAGATTAATATCTGGGGGGGGGGGTAGATACGAAAAATTTTGAGGAAAATGGGTGACATATACGGTATCCGCGTGAAAAGTCCGGAAAAAATACGTTCCTTTTTTCAGCGTTCAGTTTTGTGCTATATCGGCTCAGAAATCGGCGATCTCTTTTTTGAAGTTTTTCTACAAGAATATTTTTGCTTGACAATAATCAGGTAAAATGCGTATTTGCGTGACATACAGTATTCTGTAACGCCGTGCAAACTGCCGTGACTTAAAATTTTCAAGCAAATGCATGACATATACGCAAATTGTGGGACATTTGGATGGCCTGCAAGGGCTTGTACAGTTGTAGCTACCTGTGTGCGCTAGATCAGCCCCAGCGATCTAGTTACCGATTCCCAACCTGTATCTGACTTTTACAGCTGAATCTCTAAGAAACAGTTATTGTTTGGTTGTTTGTTGGTCCATAGTCAATACCATGGGCATGTCAATACATAGGCCTATTTATATGTACATGTAAGGCCAGGCTACTCTCCAACTTGGTTACAAGAATAGATTGATGGACTTACTTACGCTAATTAGTCAAAAATAGTATAAAATATTAGATTTTTGACAGCTAGTTGTTTACAAAATGACCTTGGATAGGTGGCAGCACACTAGTCACATCCGGTGGGTGATAATAGAGTCCCTTGTGTAACCCGCTTGGACTTGATCAAGCACTTTCAAAAGTGTATAAAATGAGTATCACATATGTCTAAATCATTTCTTCTTCATCTAACATCTAGGATAACACGTTCTAATCTTGCAGGGATTCACAAACAAGCCATGAGACCGAAGAGAAAGGCAGTTGCAGATACTGAAGTGAAGGCAAAAAGAGCAAAAGGCGAGACTGACCTCCGATTTGATTTGAAATGGTCAGAAGGTGGTAAACTGCTAAAAAACCTATGTCCATTGTTATACCTTTCGTCAGAATCAGAAAAGGGGTGTAATAAAGTGGCAGGGTTCGACATTGACTGGACGGTAATCGGTACACGCTCTGGACGCGCATTTGCAAGTGGTATGTATCACTACATAGTACATAACAATACATGTACTTCCGGTTTCACTTTCTTTTTGACAAGTTGATGTCTACATTTGTGAATATTAAATGATTTCATGAAATATATAGCAATGGATGTGATTGTGATACATAATGAAAGATCTCATCATTATTACTTAGAAATGTAAGTGATACATTACATGTGCTATCAGCTTATCCCGTACCAGGACTATAGTCCTGTATGGAGCGCACTCTTTTGCCTCTTCCACTTGTTTGATTTGAAGACAGTGAAGTCTCGATATTTTTCTAATAAGGTCATGAAGTAATATTGAAATGTGTATATTAGCTAAATCTGAACACTTTAATGTAAATGCACTGTAAGTATTCATGTAAAGATGCATAGGGTGTAGTAGAATGGTGACTAGTATCAAGTCCTTGGCCTGGAGCCATCATTTATACCATATATGGGAGTAAGCTAATCTCCTAATCTAAGAAATCCTTTCATCATAATGTTTTTTATAGCAAATTAACCACTGATTTTTGCTTCACTTAAATTGTTTCAGGTCCCAAAGATTGGAAATGGTTGTACGACTGTGTTCCCAGTAAGCTAAAGCAATTGAATGAGGATGGGTATCGTGTCATCTTCTTTTCCAATCAAGCGGGTATTGAGAAAAATAAAGTTAACCCTGATGACTTTAGAAAAAAACTAGAAGATATCATTGCTGAACTGGATATCCCTGTATTTGTAAGTTGCCTTGTAAACCTTTGATATTTAACAACCCTATTTATTAGACATATGATTGAAAGTGTTCAGTTTGATAAGTGTTGACATAAACAGGTTTTGATTAGATAAGGATCAATGGCACAAAGTACATGTACATTGTACAGTAAAACATGTGTAATATGAACATCTCTGGGACCAGCCAAAAGTGTTTGGATTAGCACTTGTTCACATTTCAAGGATTTTTTAATATGTGAAAAAATTAAGGACTGAGAAGAAGTGTTCACATTTGGAGGTGTTCAGATATACAGGTTTGACTGTATTCATATTTCAAGATGTTGAAAAAATTGAGGAATACTTAACTATTTCGGTATGATGTAAACAAAATGAGTCACCCTGTAGTGTAAATACACAATTATATTAATGATGTCTTTTTCAGGTATATGCATCTACTGGAAATAATCATTTCCGTAAACCTAGTCCAAATATGTGGAAGTATTTTATTGATCACAACAATGCAGATGTACAAGTAAGTCTACTTATAAGGGCCAGTGCTACACAGAACATGTCATTTTATGTTTTTGTATTATATATAAGAGATAATTATCATTATGGGTTGCCAATTATTCAACATTTCTGCAAGCTAGATTTTACAGGTACACATCTACTCATGTAACACAGGAAGATTTTTGACATAACCTACCTGTTATGTAAATGAAAAAAATAATTATTAACTTACTTGTAAAATTGAAATTTGTTTGTAAACATACTGTACAATTCGGGGAAATATATGACTGTAATTTTAGTTGCCTGGCCACTATTCTTAACAGATAAATGTTTATTCCATCTTTACACACCTTTTTAGCAATTGCTCTGTATTATTATACAGGTTGATCTCAGCCAGAGTATGTATGTCGGAGATGCAGCAGGGAGAGAGAAAGGTTGGAAGAAGGACAAAAAGAAAGACTTCTCATGCAGTGACAGAATGTTTGCAGCAAATGTAGGAATAGGTACAGTCTGCATACGACAATCCATTTTAGAAACATTTACATATCTTTTCAATATTAATTTAGATGTTTGCATTTAAAGTTGTATACCCCATGAAAGCATTCTAGTTTGTTTAGGTACAGTCTGCATACGACAATCCATTTTGGAAACATTTACATATGTTTTCATTATTAATTTCAATTTTTGCATTTTTATATACCCCATGAGAGATCTTAAAGTAGTGGAATGTAATTCATCAATATAAACAGTATAGCATTCCAGTTTGTATAAAATGTAATTAAAATGCAATGAAAGAGGGCAGCACTATGTAGTATGTTCTTGTATGATGTTTCAGATTTTCATACACCAGAGGAATTCTTTCTTGGTGAAGAGCCTGCCCCATTCAAGTGGCAGTCATTGGATCCTGCCAAATACCTAGAAACAATCAGCCAATCATCTTGCTCATCAAACAAATATCATGCAAACGTAAGGAGTTCTGATTGTTTATTGTGTAGCTTAAAAAACTCAAAATCTGAATTGCTCATACATGAAATATATATATTTATACATACATATGAATGTATTGTTTGCATTTATATATATACATGTGCATCACTTAACTATTTATCAGCCCCCTAGCCAGGATTTACCAGGGGGAGCGGTTTTACCAAGGGGGGAGTTTTTGCCAAGGGGGGAGCTTTTTAATAGTTTTGGCAAAAAATCATGCCAAAATGCTCAGAATGGTGAAAAACTGCATGATTTTGTCAGAATTTCTGGCTGGGGGGGGGTGGAGGAGCGGTTGCTCCCCTGGCTACGGGCCTGTTTATTCACGTGTAGCGTAGATGCTTTTATATATTTTACTGTACATGATACATATACCGTATTGTTATTTTCAGAATCAAGAAATAGCCATTATGGTAGGATGTCCAGCTTCTGGCAAAAGTACCTTTGCAAAGCTCCATTTTGTTGCAAATGGCTATGTTCATATAAATCGGGACACGTTGGGCAATGCAGCAAAATGTATCAAAGTGAGTTATTTATGCACACTTCCTCTTGCTCCATTCAAATGTATTTTGATTTGATTTGAGAGAATTTAGCCCCTTGTTTTACAGTATTTCACATGATTTAGAAAAAGCAAGATTTTGGTTGGTTGTTTACTTTTGTTACAGGTTGTTGTGAATCATTGAATGTCATTAAATTCATAGTAGTAAGTACTACCCTTAAGAAAAAAGCCATGGTAACCATGGTATTCCATGGTGCGCCCATGGTAATCCATGGAAATTCATGGTTTTCCATGTTATTTTCCATGGAAATTCATGGACGCCCATGGTAATCTTCCATGGATATTTACCATGATTTTCCGTGGTAATTGGTGGTTTGATAATTGGTTTTTACCATGATACATGGAGATGTAAAATCAACAATTTGGGTAGGATTTGTATTTACCAAAATCTCCAAAATGAATGTTTTGATGGTATATCCTAGTTGGACTTAGACTTATCTTTGAGAAAAAAGGGTGGACATTTCATTTTTTAGGTTTAGCAAGAACATTCATTGAAATATGATAGTGCAGTTAATGCAGCACAGAGTAGGCCACAAGTTTTTAAAAACAATTGTGCAAAGGACTTTTGTGTAGATCAAGACTAGATAGAGATTGCTTATTTTTTAAGCCAAACACTTCTTTCCTTTGAAAAAGATTAAGTCAAACTAGCTCTGTTTTATTTCAAAACTTTCATTAATTTTCAGTTTTAAAAATCAATATGATTAAGTCAAACAAGCTCTGTTTTATTTCAAAACTTTCTTTAATTTTCAGTTTTAAAAATCAATATGAATAAAATTAATAATTTAATAAATAAATAACTTATTTTCTTAAATTACATTTCGTACATTTGAGAATACAATCAAAAACCATGGTTTCTTTCTTTGAAGTTGAGGAAACTGCAATCAAAAGCCATGGAAGTCGGTTGATTGCAATTGAAAGCCATGCTTTTCCATGATTATTTCTTTGATGTTTCAGAAAGTGCAATCAAAAGCCATGCTTTTCCATGGTTATTCTTTTGATCTTTTGAAAGTCCATGGTTTTCCATGGGCTATTTGTTTGGTGTTTTGCATGAAGAAAAAAGAATAATACATTATGTCTCTAAATGAACTTCTCCAAATGAAGTCCCATTCAACCTCTATAAGCATATTATCTCTCAAATTAATGTTAAAAAATTAATCTCTTTGCAACAGATTATAATAGTTCATTTGCATAATTCTTAAATATTCAGATCTTATTGTTATTATATATGATAATCTTACTCTTTCTAATTCTCCCTCTTCAGTAATTATTATTGTCGGTGAGTGTAGACAGTGCAAGTCAAAAACTCATTGTTGATCAAATGAAACCAAATAGGATTTACTCCAAGTACAAATGTTTATTCAGTCTGCAACTGAGACTAACATAAAAGTCTCAGGTCTGCAATAAGGGAATCCAGTGAGCTGATTTTATCATTTATTTTGTCTTTTTTTACATCAGCGCCAAAGTTAAATGATAGCAAATCCCAGCAAACAAATTATTACTTGTAATTGTGGGGTCAAATCATCAATTAAAAAAATATTAAGTAAAAAGTTCTTTGTCATATGACACTATGTACAGAATGTACTAAACATATATTCAGATTGTAAAAACATGGTTGTATTTCAGGCCTGAAACCAGCTTTTGTCAAGAAGGTTGACTTTCTAAAAAATTTGAGGGGGGGGGGAGTGGCGTCATATTATTCTGTCAATGACTAGTCTCAATCCAGCTTGGATTCATTCGTTAAAATATTGATACAATTTGTGGTAAAAACATGGTATGTCCATGAAAAAACAATTACCAAACCACTTATTACCACGGAAAATCATGGTAAATATCCATGGAAGATTACCATGGGTATCTATGAATTTCCATGGAAAATACCATGAAAAACCATGAATTTCCATGGAAAACCATGAATTACCATGGACGCACCATGGAATACCATGGTTACCATGGCTTTTTTCTTAAGGGTAATTATGCAAAAGAATGACTTAAGTTAAGAGTACTTGTTTCAAACTTTATTGATCTGACATCTGAGCAGTGTCACATGCACAACCCATATTTCCAGCTAAATTTCATGGTTTAAAATGCCATCAAAACATAAACTATATTGTAGAGTGTATGTAAAATCCTAAACCCATCGTCTTACTTTTAATTCATCAGAATACTTTTTTGTGACAAAATGTGTAATTCTTTAATGTGAGAGCCATCTCTAAAACATTTCAAAGCTCTCAATTCACCAGATTTTACACCTAAATGTTATGTATTCCATTTGTGGAAACACTTCAGAGATAATCAGAGATATTCTGTGACAATGTGATAAGAATGAGTAAATGACAACATTTCTTTTAAAAACTTTTTTTGAACTGTAGTGAGATAATTACATTGACCAAGTCTGCCATATTTAGCGAAAGTGGCGTAAATGTTTTTCGGAATCTTTATTTTACTTCATTGTAGGCAACCCAAGATGCACTGAAAGCTGGAAAGAGTGTTGTGATAGATAATACGAATCCATCTCCTTTAGTCAGAGCAGATTATATGCAACTTGCCAAAAAGTTTGGTAAGCCATCTTATGTGTACTAATTCATTTATTTAGTATTTAGAGATTTGAATGGAGGTTTTCTAAACAAATAAATGTCTCATGCTTTTAATTTTTATTTAGGAGTACCTGCTAGATGTTTTGTCATGTCAACGCCACAGGAGGTAGCCCATCATTTGAACTATGTCCGGCAAAATCAAACCAATGGGGAAATAAGACGTATCCCAATGGTTGCGTACCACTCATTTAAGAAAAACCACAAGATACCTGAACTTTCCGAAGGATTCTCTGAGATTATTAATGTGACCTTTGAGCCAAAGTTTACATCAAAGAAACATGAAGAACTATTCAAGCAGTGGACATCTTCTGAAAGATAATGACAGTCTACTCAAGTACTATTCAATTCAGCATCTGAATGACTGAGCATATTCCAGCGCCAGTCAGTGATCTTACAAGAATGACACAAGTGAGTGCTGCACCTACAGCAAAACCTGTATATCTGAACACATCTCTAATTGGAACACCTCTTTGTGAAATCCCATATATTTTATTCTGCAATAGACTTCCATGTTAAAAACCTCAAGAAGTGAACACCTGTCGATCCGGACACTGTTGAATGGAGCCTGTGGCTTTTGGATTGGACGGGTTTTACTGTACTTGGTGTTTGAACAAAAGTCATGCACTCACTTAAAGATCTATTTGCGCTCACTGAAAATCATGATAATTGGCATATTCTGAGACTGATTTTGAAAATAATTCAGAAAATGGAAATATTGCACCAATTTGAGGAAAAGACTCTTGGGGTAGGTGGAATTGCCAGCGTATATGAGAAACATCGAGAGAGAATATTGTTTCTTAATATGATAATCTCTGTCTGCTCAATGCTCAATCTTAAAACTTTGTTACCATGGTGAGCAATAAATATTATTGTGAAGAACAGTTGTGCAGTAGAAACAACAGTATTCGATAATGAAATAGGGTAAATTATGTAAATAAATGGCCAGTGCACAATGTGCACTGGCAATTTATTTACATAATTTACCCTATTTCATTTAATGGAGCAAAATAATAGCATGTGCACTGCACATGCTATTATTTTGCTCCATTAAAGTTATTCCGCTTCATTGTAGAAGCAATATGTACAATATAAAAGAAGGGGTGGGGCTGAGACTCATGTAAAATATCCTGCCCTCTATCATGATGACAATGAATGTATACATATTGGTATTTAGTTCTCAAATGCAGTTATTTATTTATTCATATTCTGGCCATCCTCAGATCACAGGGCTTCAAAATCCAGAATATATTCTTTCTTTTTACCCCTGCGATAAGCAGTTAGCATTTCTATGATTAAGAACTCGCAATCTGATTGGCTGTCGCAACACTGCGACATAAATCATGTATAAGTCATTGTGCATAATTAGATCACGTGATTCAGTTCAATCGTGGGCTTCCAAATTGGTTATAGCAGGGGGAAGAAGGAGGTACGGATTCTGGAAACCTGCTTAGGAGGATGTATTCTGGCTTGTCATGTAACAGGGTAAACATGGTGAAAGAGGCATGTCGTCAGTATTAAGACGGTGGATATATAGCAGATAAAGCAAATTGCATACATGTAAATCCGATACGAACCATATATTGTACTAGTTTTAAAATATTAATACTCATATTCCCCATAAATCATTCATGGTCATCTATATGTATTTATGTTTCATATAAAAATAATTTTACACATTGATATTTGTATTGAATAGATTTATGATCAGAACATCCCTACAATATATATGTAGGCCTCTTGAAATGAATATTTTTATTATTGTAAATGTAATGGAATTGTAATAAGTATACATATTAAAGAATCAAAGATATGAATATAATATATTTAATAAAATATTGTTTTCATAAGTTCATGTTTTTAACAATCATTACAAATTACATAACAATCTTGGTATGTATTGAAAGACACGTTTGATAAATACTTTTTCTTATCCTTGAGACGGCCTTGAGCATGATAAACTACAATACTATTATTAACCTAAAAAAAAGTATTAATTATTTACACGTATACCCTTGCCGCATGTGACTTATTTATTAGGCCTACTAGATATACTTTCTTTTACTATCCGAATGTTCAAAGTTCACAATTTCAAAGTTGAATTCATCAAAATGTCAGATAATATACGCACTCGCTCCTTATAGATTATAGGAAATATTTAAACACAATATTTAACTCGGTGGGGATAATCATTTATCTCATGAAAAAATCAATAAATAGTCATTTTTTATAGGCCCATGGGCGTATAAGCGTACTGCATTCGATTTTTGGCCCATCGGGTACTACATGGTGAATAACACGGAATATGTTTGATATTGATAAAATCGTATTGTCCCGCCCAATCCTGCTCACGAAAATCGTATTCAGCTCCCGATCCTCGCGAAAACGGTATTCACCCCAGGGGATTTCTGCCAAACAAAGCTTCCTATTTCGGGTGGATATAGCGTGCTATAATGATGTTCTGATGTCAAAAACGATATTTTCAAAACAAAGGTGAAAATAAAGAACTTGGAACGTATTAAGTATACCGGATTTTCTCGCATATACGCCCCCCTAAATTTAGGCCCATGGGCCAAAAATCGAATGTAGAACGCTTATACGCCCATGGGCCTATAAAAAATGACTATTTATTGATTTTTTGAATAAATTCAAGGGTATTTTGTCACTGGCAGATCGTTCTGTCGTTACTTTGTTTCAACATTAAGTTCAACGCTGTGCCGTAAGTGGCAGTGGTGGATCGTTCTGTTGTTACTTTGTTTCAACATTAAGTCCAAGGTTGTAGGTGACATTTCCTTTATAATTCTTACAAAACATGCGGTAGGACTACAACCGAGTAGGTACGGTAGTCTTTGAGGAAGATGGCTGATGCCCACCTTTACGCCCACTGGGCCAAAAATCGAAAGTAGTACACTTATACGCCCATGGGCGAAAAATAAGAGGTAAAATAACAGACGAAATTACCCCTTCTTTCAGTTATACGCCCAGGGCTTATATGCGAGAAAATCCGGTAAGGCGAATATTGTAATTTCATCATCATTTTATGTTACAAATATAATGACATTTTCATGTTGAACATGTCATAAAGTCTGGTTTTGTTTCATACAAAAATCAGATATAAATTTTGAACTAATGATTTCGTGGAGTTATGGATATCATGGGATAAAAACCTTATCCACTACTCATGCATTTATCTTCAGAATATTGCCATGCTACCCTTTTAACCATAATTTCAAAAAATACTCCAAGAGTACTCTATTGCGATTGTGGTCATATAAAGTATTTTTAGAAAGAAGAATTCCAATTATATAATTACGTGACTTCTGTGCTTATTAAATTGGTATACGTATTGAACTTTTACGAATGATCCCATAGGTAATTGATTAAACAGTAAAACTTATATCATTACTCAAAGAGGGTCCCTCCGAAATCACCAATGAAAGGGAAATTTCCACTTTTTTGTCTGTAGTACTAATGAATATCCCAGTGAATGAATGATATTAAATAAAATGAATGTTGATCCGAAACGAAAATGTTTACAATCAATATTTATATTTGTGAAGATAACCTTTGTAAAAACGCTTGGTCTTTTGAATCAATCTTAAAGACATATTACCAAATTAATGTAACCTTCTTACCCAGAGATAGGGGTAAAGTTGAAGTACAAAACATGATATTTACATAGTAATTACGTTTTTGTTTCTTTACAAAGTTCAATTATTTGAGTTAACTACCATTAGCTCAACATCACAAGTACACGCACACATTGATATTCAAGGAACGGGAATGAATAAGATTAAAGCCTATTAGGATAATCAAGCACTAAGTAAGTCTGTCAATTAAAACAATTTAGCAAATCGACATACTGGATGGGGCAAAAAATGTAACCGAAACAAATGTTAATAACTCATCTGTTTAAAGTCAGATTTGGCACAAATGAACCTTGTTCAATACAATGCTTTTTTCATTCCACCAAGTGCTCATGCTTCAATCCATACTGAATGACCATGGGCAATTAACATTTGTTTGAGTTACATTTTTGGCCACCCTGTAAATTGCAGTGTTTTGATATTTGGATTTTTCGTGAAATTCAGAAACGAAAGGCACGCCGAATCTACATTACAACATCGTTACGACATGCCGAAAGAGACATTCTATCACACAGGTGAGATACATACGTTTATCATTTCCAATCGACTCAGCCTCTTGCTAGTAGGTACAACCACCGACATTTTGAGCTGCAGACACTCGTGGAAATAATATTTAAATAATTTTTCTTATGCTGGCGGCCATTTTGATCAGCCCGTTTAAAAGAACGTGAACTTTATTTTAAACTATGCAAAATTCATTGCAAAGTCTGGTAGTTAATAACAAAAGATGTAAGAGGTGCAATTTCCGAATGAAGTTCCTCCCACTTCTGGTTCAAGCATAGATTTCAATTATAAATGGTCCTCAAACTAAATATGATGTAAATATTTGATAATGTTAAGGAATGTAAGGTGTGTTGCAAAGTTATTATCAAAAGCTCAACTTTACTTCAACGATGATTCGTTGTCCAAACGTATTCAATTAAAATAGTTCAACCAGCAATTTACTATACTCGTACCATCTCGATAATTGTGCCATGCATCTATCTTCAGTCCTTTTAACATGCCTATTTGGTGTGTCGATGTCAGGAAATATGACTCCAAAAGCAGACAATGCAATACCATCAACAGTTGAAACGACGAAACCAGTTATCAATAAAAACGTTGCATCAGCTGCTACTAAACCGATTACCACAATAACAACACCACTCCTATCCCCTGTAATACAAAGAGCCCGGCTAGCTTATTCACAACCGACAAACACAGTAACAACACCACTCCTATCCCCGGCAATACAAAGAGCCCGGCTAGCTTATTCACAACCGACAAACAAAGTAACAACACCATCTACCTCCACTACAACAACGAGCCCAGACTGTAAAATATCACAGGCCAGTCGATGTTTAGTTGACATCAGCCAGAGAATAATTGCTGAGATAATCTTACCTGGAAACCATAGTGCCATTTGTAGTGAGGTTTCTACAACGATCAGATGTGTCCATGAATCTGTTGCTTCGTGTCATCCTAACTGGTGGGCCAGATTCAACATGACATTAGAGGCGACCATTTCACAAATCAAAGGGACGTGTGAATCACCAACCCCCGCACCAACTGTACCTCCATGTCCGACAGAACCACCAAATTGTGGAGTTGATGCAAGTGTCAGATGTGTAGTGGAATTCAATGAGAGAATACTAAATGTTCTTGGAGGCCCAGATGGAGAACTGGAAGCAATCTGCAGGTTGGGTTAATCCACAAAAACTTGAAATATGTAACAATAATGTTTCTTGTACATTCGTACTATTGAAATATAATGTAATCGATTTGAATCGTCAGGTTGTCAAAAATTTATGAGGATACATTCATTTCAGAGAGCGAGAGACAGCCAAGAGATGTGCCATGGATGCCTCTGCTTATTGCTCTCCTTGTTCCTCTCAACGGGTTAATGCCAGTTTAAACTTCGTGTTAAGACAAATTCGAGATTTCTGTGCAGTTGTAGTACAAATAATAGCAAAGTCTACTAATACCACCACAACTCCAAGTCTAAACTCAACTTCCACATTTCCACAAACTACAATGCCTCATTCAAGATGGAACGAAACAACGGAGCAAAACACCACAACAATACCGTCTTACACATCACCTCCAACATCAACGTATACGCCATCTACCAGAATAACACCACCGAACACAACGACGGAGCAAAACACCACAACAATACCGTCTTACTCATCACCTCCAACATCAACGTATACGCAATCTACCAGAATAACACCACCGAACACAACGACGGAGCAAAACACCACAACAATACCGCCTTACACATCACCTCCAACATCAACGTATACGCCATCTACCAGAATAACACCACCGAACACAACGACGGGGCAAAACACCACAACAATACCGTCTTACTCATCACCTCCAACATCAACGTATACGCAATCTACCAGAATAACACCACCGAACACAACGACGGAGCAAAACACCACAACAATACCGCCTTACACATCACCTCCAACATCAACGTATACGCCATCTACCACAATAACACCAACGAACACAACGACGGAGCAAAACACCACAACAATACCGCCTTACACATCACCTCCAACATCAACGTATACGCCGTCTACCAGAATAACACCACCGAACACAACGACGGAGCATAACACCACAACAATGCCGCCTTACACATCACCTCCAACATCAACGAATTCGCCATCTACCAGAATAACACCACCGAACACAACGAAGGAGCAAAACACCACAACAACACCGCCTTACACATCACTTCCAACATCAACGTATTCGCCATCTACCAGAATAACACCACCGAACACAACGACGGAGCAAAACATCACAACAATACCGCATTACACATCACCTCCAACATCAACGTATACGCCATCTACCAGAATAACACCACCGAACACAACGACGGGGCAAAACACCACAACAATACCGTCTTACTCATCACCTCCAACATCAACGTATACGCCATCTACCAGAATAACACCACCGAACACAACGACGGAGCAAAACACCACAACAATACCGTCTTACTCATCACCTCCAACATCAACGTTTACGCCATCTACCAGAATAACACCACCGAACACAACGACGGAGCAAAACACCACAACAATACCCCCTTACACATCACCTCCAACATCAACGTATACGCAATCTACCAGAATAACACCACCGAACACAACGACCGACCAAAACACCACAACGATGGGGCAAAACACCACAACAATACCGCCTTACACATCACCTCCAACATCAACGTATATGCCATCTACCAGAATAACACCACCAAACACAACGACGGAGCAAAACACCACAACAATACCGCCTTACACATCACCTCCAACATCAACGTATATGCCATCTACCAGAATAACGCCTCCGAACACAACGACGGGGCGAAACACCACAACAACACCGCCTTACAAATCACCTCCAACATCAACGTATACGCCATCTACCAGAATAACACCACCGAACACAACGACGGGACAAAACACCACAACAATACCGTCTTACTCATCACCTCCAACATCAACGTATACGCAATCTACCAGAATAACACCACCGAACACAACGACCGACCAAAACACCACAACAACACCGCCTTACACATCACCTCCAACATCAACGTATTCGCCATCTACCAGAATAACACCACCGAACACAACGACGGGGCAAAACACCACAACAATACCGCCTTACACATCACCTCCAACATCAACGTATTCGCCATCTACCAGAATAACACCACCGAACACAACGACGGGGCAAAACACCACAACAATACCGCCTTACACATCACCTCCAACATCAACGTATACGCCATCTACCAGAATAACACCACCGAACACAACGATGGAGCAAAACACCACAACAATACCGCCTTACACATCACCTCCAACATCAACGTATACGCCATCTACCAGAATAACACCACCGAACACAACGACGGGGCAAAACACCACAACAATACCGCCTTACACATCACCTCCAACATCAACGTATACGCCATCTACCAGAATAACACCACCGAACACAACGACGGAGCAAAACACCACAACAATACCGCCTTACACATCACCTCCAACATCAACGTATACGCCATCTACCAGAACAACGCCTCCGAACACAACGATGGGGCAAAACACCACAACAATACCGCCTTACACATCACCTCCAACATCAACGTATATGCCATCTATCAGAACAACGCCTCCGAACACAACGATGGGGCAAAACACCACAACAATACCGCCTTACACATCACCTCCAACATCAACGTATACGCCATCTACCAGAATAACACCAACGAACACAACGACGGAGCAAAACACCACAACAATACCGCCTTACACATCACCTCCAACATCAACGTATACGCCATCTACCAGAATAACACCACCGAACACAACGACGGAGCAAAACACCACAACAATACCGCCTTACACATCACCTCCAACATCAACGTATACGCCATCTACCAGAATAACACCACCGAACACAACGACGGAGCAAAACACCACAACAATACCGTCTTACTCATCACCTCCAACATCAACGTATACGCCATCTACCAGAACAAAACCACCGAACACAACATGGTCTGAAATAACTTTGTCAAATACAACATGGACTACTACTACTACTACAGCATATAATACAACATGGGTCGAAATAACATCACCTTACACAAATTATACACCAGAGACAATATCATGGCATACAAGGATACCAACCACCCCAGAACCTAGTTTCCCTCCGCCGCCACCAAGCATGGTTCCTATTAATAGTAAGTTTATAATTCAGGTTGGACAACTTTTTGTCGAATTGTTTTGGGTAGTTTTGAGAGAACTTACTTGCTCTATTGCTAAAATACATTACATGTACTGTCTATAAACTTATACAGGTAAACAATTCGTTCCAATATGTCCACATTGTCACAATTGCTTTTTTGCTAATATTGAGAAATCAGACGTTGAAGATTTGGGACTTCTAACTTTTGAGTAGTATTTTTTTGTTTTTGAAATATCATAATAACCCTGAAAACTGAATTTTATTCACTTCCATTTTGTTATTGTCTCATATATGGCCAGGTTCAGTAACTAAGTCAACATTCGAAAATAAAAATCTAAAAATCGTACATCTTTGATTTCAAAAATAATTTGTGATGTGGTTATTTAGATGATAATACACATTTTAACGAATTGATTTTGAGAACATCTCGAATCCATTCTCAGCAAAGCTTTTGCGAAATAAGTATTCGAAATGTTCGGGGTGATAAAAGTACATTAAGATATACCGCTTCTTAACAAATTCCTTTGGGAACAATATATAGAATCAAAGGCATCTTCTTATTTACTCACTGACAAGTGCCATGCCAACGAATGTAACATAAGTAAATATCTCTGTTTTAAATAATTTTTAAACGTTCTTTTATCTACAGGTGCCATTTTTTATAATTGAACAAATTTAACATTTTGCATTTCTAAATTGATAGGTTTCTTGGAATAAATCATAACTGTTAAGGATTTGAGTCATTAATAATGTTTTCCTTAGTGATTCCATGATAAATAGACAGTAACTGGGTCAATGTTTTATGCTCAACCTTGTTTTTATGACTTTTAAACATGAGTCGACAATTATGTAGGAAATTACAATTCCAAATGTCAGCGTGTCAACTCGTGTATTTTCACAATATTTAGCATTTTATCATGATGGATCGCCAAAAGCTGCATGTACCTTTCAATGAGATGAAATAGCAAGAAAATCTTACGCATTGAACGATATCTAATTTCCCGGGGAAAATTGCCGGTCTAGAATATATTCTAGACCGGTCCATATGGACCACCACTATGAAGTCACACATTTCTCAGGTCGATATAGTAAAATAAACGCCTTCTAAACTAGCACTAAAACCCCTAGAACTGGCCCGGCAAGGTGGTAATAATTCAAAGTATCCGCTATTATTTTGATTGCACAAGACGAAATTTCTATTCCCGGTGAGCACTTTGGTAACAGTTTAATTCAATTGTGGCACCGTTCTTAGTAAATATTGATGAACAAACGAATTTCGAATGTTGACTTAGTTACTGAACCTGACTGATGCCCATCTAATCATACAGAATATGACTCTGTTCCATTTTGACTGGTAATGATATAACAGGTCAGTAATTGATTAAGTTCACTGAATGAAATTTTATTTTTGTTTCAAATAATGTCAAATCTGCTTTCTTTTGTTTGTACTTCATAGTGTCATGATTTATGATCTCCTTTGTTAATTACCTGCAATGTATACTATATTAGTAAGTGATCTTCCCATTATTTCCATATTGTTAGAACTACATACTTAGTCACATGATCACATTATGTAATCTGATTGGCTCTGCTGCCTATCCAAACGGATATGACAAGGGGGGGGGGGCTAATTTTTTCCCCTCATTTTGCAGCAGATTAGATCCATTGAAATGGATCAGAAATGAATTCCTCGTGAAAAACTGAGAAAGATAGTATATTTATCTCAAAACCTGCATACAGTGAGTTATAACAATGTAGAAATATTGGGACGAATTGTCGTTATTATTTTTGATGAGTAGAAATATGAATATTACAGCTTCTCGATGTTTTTCACAATGTATAAGTGGAACAACAGATATAAAATTGATATTTTGGGGAAGCGGGACATGTACATATGGGTTATGTACTGGGAGGATTTTGATAGGGGGTTTATCCAAAGGGAGATATGCATATCTACCTAATATTTGTTTAATTGCCGGAAGTGAAAGATATGCCCAGGAGCGAGAGATATGGCTAGAGATATTGAGGTTCTTGATATAGAAACCTCAAAATCAGGACAGGATTTATCTTACCAACTTACCTCCCTAAAACTCTAGCCTACTTGGCATAGGATGATAGAATAAATATATTTATGGTCGTTATTCACCAGGAGAGATTTGATATGGGGAATATCACAAGGATGATATCAATATTTCCCAAGGATACGCAGTGACAAAGGGCAATATTGCCATCCGATAACCCTTTTTATCTCCCGCTGTGTATCTCCCGCTCCAGAAAAATGTTTTTGCTCAGTAACAATCAATGTATTAAGCCAAACTGTCAAAATGTATGCAGCAGACTGTAAAATTGTTCATCGATTTCTCGAAAGTAATGAGAATGAGAACTTTTAAAAAACTGGATATGGGTGTCACTCGTGAAAACCTCACTCGTGAAACCTTACTTGTCATAGGATAAATTAGTTACGGTATTGAATATGGGATCTATATCTCGGGAAATATGATATCTCAGACCCTCTGGGCCCTCGGTAAGTTATCTATATTTTCCTCAAGATAAACCCCATATCCAAACCCTCCCATAACCCTCATGTATGTACTTTAAATTATGAAAAAATGCATTTTGCAACACATGTTGACGATTGAAATGTCTTTACAGTGGGTGGAAGCCGGTTAAATATGACTGGATTGACGATTCTCATGAAAGGAGTGAATTTCCATGAAGACCTTCACGATCAATCAACAAATATATTCCATGATTTCTTTTGGGATGTACGGGACTTCATAATGAGTTCAGATGTTAGTATATGCTTTTGATAATCCATCCCTGCATTGGAAGAATCTCGGAAATATATATGTTTCGCTTTGGAAGGTGTAATTAATTGATCCAGCTAATTCCTAATCAAGCGCAGTAGTAATATCACAAATCTGCATATTTGCCAAAGGATTACATCACTGTTTTTTCTTTGTTTTGACTTGAGTTGAGTTGAATGACCAATTTTCTATTTGTCTTTTTCGATTGTTCTCTTTGCCTTATCATTTATGCTCTCTTTATTTCAGCATAATGGCGGCTTGGGCAATTTATATGATTTTCCACTTCTTCATTTTAACATTACAAGATTCAGGTAAGTGAAAAGACATTTAAGATAACATCACTTTTCTAGATAAATAAATTACACCAATATTGTATGGCCTATCATTATAATTTATTTATTCCTTAAACAATGAACATTTTTAGAACTTTTCATGTTTCGATTATATTCAGAGCTTCTTTTTGCTTATATTGAAATTAAAACTATACAATGTTTGTATTTGCAGGAAAGGGAGCATAATAGCTGAATTCTTTCTTGTATATTACGTATATAATTATCTCGGCCTGCCAAAAAATGGTACTGAAACTATCAGAGCACGTATTAACAACGTTATTCAATCAATGGCAGATAAGAACATACCAACACGTGCATTTGGCATTAATGGAACGATCACGAATCTTACCGTAGACAGAGCCTACCTTCAAGATGTGACATATCGACAGATAAATGAGGGTAACTTTGAATTATCTTAAATTGGGTTACATTATGTTAATTAAGGCCCGTATAAAGTGTGAATCGCTCATATTGTAATTCAACCCAGTGTTATCAAAAGATTTTTTTAAATTCAGAAAGATGTCAGTTTATAGTACTGCATTGCTTCGTACTGTATTGTTGCATTGTGCTATATATTTTGTATAATACATTGTTACTTGATTGTATTGAATTGTATTGAATTTTATTCATTTTATCTATTTGAAGTTTTCTGATCCCATGTAAAAGTTTACAGTAGAGAGACACCCCTTGGAATGTATAGGTCCCATATCATGTTTTGAATTATAAAAATATATCATATAAAAAGTAAGTTCGAACAGTCAGAGAATGTGGAAACAAACTCACTGAGCATAAAGATATCATGATGATGTACACTGATGTGAAGGAAGCATTTGCCAAGACAGATCTAATAACTGAATAATGACTCAACAAGTCAAACTTTAACTTTCTTTCCAAGGATTTGATATATTTGGACCATTTGAGAACGAGTTACAGTTTATGAGGTCCAATCGATTTTTTCCAATTTCTGTCCTGAATTTTCAAACAGTTCAATTCGATTCTTGTTTCATGTTCATGAACTGCTGATCTCGGAATGAAAAAATTTGAAGTTTGAATTTTTGAAAAGGAAAATGTAGCGACTCAGAAACTGTTTTCTGCACACCCAAGCCTTAGTGACATCGCAACATAACCTGCTGACATTAAAACCGTATATAGCCTTGCCCTGCGCAAGTCGATGTCATATTTTACTATTTGTCTTGATTTTTAATTAAATGAATAAAATTAAAAATAAAAAGACACCGAAAACCTCAAAATCCTATAGCTCATGTATGCTTATTTTTAAATTAAATTTAACGTTTTATATGACATTGTCTATCTAATGAAGTGTAGGCAATGTTTTACACTTTGTATTTTGTTGTGTATATGATAATCTAAATTGCGGGATAATATTTCAAAAACTAATTAAAATCGGCCTCGAAAATGTTTTTTTAACCCATGACAAATAATATTTGGATTATTAAACAATATTTTCCAAACGCCACACGGGCTTCCAGTTAATATTTATTAATTCCAAATCTCTTTCACAACTTTGTATTAATGCAGAATTGATCCCTTTTGATAATGGGTAACTTGAGATTTTAAACAATTTAAAAAAAACTACACAAGTGTTATGAACATACAACTCCAATTGTTCGAAGGTCATAATGATTGCAGCAAGTGCGTGTACAGGGGACATTCTTCGATGTGAATATGGACACAGATGTTATTACTACAATGGTGAATATGGCTGTTACAGTATGTGTCAACGTATCCCTTTTGGCACATGGAGTCCTGAAGACAGTGATAGATGTAATGGCGGAAGGTGTTCTATAAGCGGGGGCTATAATGCCTCACTGACCACTGTTTGCAGGTACAGTATGCTCGATTTTACATGGACCTCAATCCATGATTGTACATGGGCCTTCATGATTATACATGGATCTCCATATTGTACATGGACCTCCATGACTGGTACGCGTGTTTTATGTACCTGTGAAAAACGGCCATGCACCTTTTCCATAATTTCTCCATCATAATTACACTTGAAACTGCATCGTTAACCCTGCAACTGGCACTTGTATAAATTTAAGGAACGCGAATACATTTTGATTATATGAGTAATATCGCGAAAGGTTATAATAAATGGACCATTTTTCAATTTTACCACTCCCACCAAAATCCAGCTTATCTTAACATATTTGTCAAATAACAGCGATGTCCGCAAACGTTGCATCATAGAGGGGGCCCTTACATTTGATGCTGACCATGATCAACACTTTGTGTGTGGAAGTCAGTAAAGTGTCAAATGAATCCTTATATTTCAGATGCAGTTATGGTTTCCATCGATTAGAAGGAAGATGCATCTCAGTCGCTATTATTGCTGGATGTATAGGTGGCGCTGGGGTGATATTAATCATCATTTTAATCGCGTGTGTTGTCAGGTCAAGGTCATCCAAATCAGTTGGCGACCCCGAATCGAGGCCAGATACGTAAGAATTATAAAGCACAAAAAAATTAATGCTATACCATTTGTTGAATGGTTACACTAATTTTTTTATTGCGATGCCATTTCCTTGTCTTAACATGTTTGGACAATCAAAAAATATTTATAATACAGGGTGACCGGAAAAAAAGGAGACCATTGAAGTAATCAATTTCTCCTAAACTAGACAAGTGCCATCAATGAAATTTTGCATACACTGGAACAGTTATATGGAAATTTGTTACTGAAGGTTTCAATACAAGCATTCAACTGGTTCAGGAGCTATGATCATTTACATAACATGCTCCAAATAGGCACAATTGAGACCAACGCAGAGTTGGATTCATATGGCAAACTACCCTTACATGTTCTGCCCTCTATGGCATTATTATGGCATTACATATAGCAGTGATTGCCTTCTTTAGGTCAACAATAGTCTGAGGATTGTTTTGGTATAGATTGTCTTTCAAATATCCATACAAAAAGAAATCAGCAGGATTCAAGTCTAGGCTGTAATGGCAATGAAGGGTTATCTGACATGTGGTTCATCATCCTGTTGCCAAAGTGCTGATTTACCAAATCTTAAGAGTCACTTTAGGTATTGGGCATAGTGCCATGTTACTAAAACCACTATATGGCACAATTAAATCCCATATGAAAACCAAGGGCTGCCCAAAACCTCCTTAGGATGATACTGTAACTGAGTGGGACCACTGAGTCAGAAGCCATAGGTCAGATAAGCTTCGTCTCCATACACCTCAAATTTGAATCCACCTGATTTCTTTTTGTGGGGCAATTTGAAAGACAATGTGTACCAAAACAATCCTGAGACAATTGCTGACCTAAAGGTGGCAATAAATGCTAAATGTAATGCCATAACAAGGTCGGAATATGTAAGGGTATTTGCCAAATGTATCCAGCTCTGCGTTGGTCTCAATTGCGCCTATTTGGAGCATGTTATGTAAATGATCATAGCTCCTGAACCAGTTGACTGCTTGTATTGACACTTTCAGGAACAAATTTCCATAGAACTGTCCTGATGTATGCAAAATTTCATTGATGTCACTAGTCTATTTTAGGAGATATTGCCTATTTCAATGGTCTCCTTTTTTTCCGGTCACCTTGTATATATGTTCATTTTCACAATGAAATGAAACACATCTGTTAGTGTTTATGTGTTCCCCGGGATGTCTTCTTTTCTACATTTCTTGTACTTACTTCGGGTATTTCAGCAGCTATATGCAATTGGGCACACAGAAATCGATAATTACGTAGAGCTTAAAAGGTTAACGTATTCTTTTCCATTAAATAAGGTTATGAAACATATATTTTAACCATATATGAATTTTCCTTCCAGGTACTCCAAGGAACAAGATGTCTTTAATACAGAGCAGGTCACACGTCGTCAACTCTTACGTCACTTATCAGTAAGTTCACAGAATTTATATAAAACTAGTATCTAGATTTCGTTTAAAAACTATCAAAATACATATCAGATGAATACATCTCGAACCAAATATTGAGGGCGACACTGTTTAGCTTTTCACGGAAGTAATTTTTATGTCATAAAACATTTTCAGATTTCAATAGGCAGTAGGGAGCGAGCAGATGATGACATTCCTGATGAAATTAACAAGGATGATGGACCAAAAAGCAAGAAGTACAATCTAAGTGACAGCCTGAAACTCAGACTGGAGAAAGAACTTTTACCACCTAAGGATGACGTCGACACGAGTAAAGATGCGAGTTAAAATACAACCTTTCATTGACCAGTATCAGGATCCACCTACATTGAACGCCATCAACTTTTAACCTATTCCGATGGATGTAAACAAGAGAAACACCGAGAAGACGAAAACCACTCCATTATGAAATTAACATTGAAAAGCAAGATGAGTCGATTTGATAGCAACTGAATTGTAGCATCCTTCTACAAGTCTTCAACATTAATTATCAACCTGTGCCCAGGTGTAAAAGGGTAGGAGGTCCTATCAAATTATGGTCCTACTCTCCATTGATTTATATGGTGACCTAAATACAACTCTTTCTCTCATTATCGTATACGCAATCAGGGCCAGTAAGGGCCGTTAGGAAAGGGGACCATAATCCCTGGGGGACCATCATTTCTTTCACACCGGTTTATACACCGTTCATTCAGTATTGTCCCCAGTATTGGTGATCGAAATTACCTTTTTATACAATTTATTTTTACATTTTGAAAGTCATAAATTTTCGTTGTGATTTCATAAAGAATAGGAAACATTTATCAGATATGTGCTACCCCTAAACAATTGGTGTGGATTATGGACATGAAACTTGCTATACTCTCTAACAACTGAATACTTTTAAAGAGAAGAATTCATACTTTGAAAATAAAGGAGAAGAATATATTTATTTGACGCCCTGTATATATATTTATTCATATTAACCTATTGAGCATCACACCAGCGGTTAGGGAGAGAGCAGATCTGCCCCCCCCCCCATCCCCTATTTCACATTCTAAAATAAAGGTTCATCGATTCAAGTCAAATCTACTAACAATTTGGGTAATTCAGTAACATGGCGAGCTATGACTTTACTCCTAAGGGATGTTAGGGTCACAATTTTTCCGCTAATTTTTGCCCCCCCCTAACCGTTTAATTGTTAAAGAAAGCAGTGTGAGATTCAGTGATTAATTCTGTCAAACGTACACCCTATCCATAACTTTGCCAAGTAGTTTTCATTTCAAGTTTGCACTTGATAGACTATCAAAGCCTGTCCATTTTTGAATCTTAACTTTGTTCCTTAATTACAACAAACTTATGTCTTTGCTAAATATGAACAGGATTTTATTATTACATGATTCAAAAGGGGACTTCATGTTGGAAAACTTATGGAGGAGAGTGTTGCAAGTACATGAATACAATGATATCCAATTGCACAAATGATCATTAAAGCCCAAAATATGTGAAGCAAGGTATACAAAATCTTTGTATTATTGATTGAAATGGAAAGTATTTATATTGGTGCAATTGGTATATTACAATGTACTTACATGTACTGATAAATGCAATAATGATCAATATCAACAAACAAGACATAAACCAAGTCATTAGTCAAAACTAATCAGATTCTAAAATCCATTATTATGTTTTGTACATGCCAGTGGCATGGTGAATGTAAAATGTAAAATTGCAGTATATAATTGTATTTGGATTTGAAACAATAAAAAATTTAAGTTAAAATCCAGGGTATGTATTGCTGTTTCTGGCAGTTGTGCATTGTGCATAATTAGACCTCTTAGACTCAACAGTTGTGCATTGTGCAGTTAGACTGTAACATAAACTCAACTTACAAATATTACACATTTGAGATTCTACCACTAAAACCTATATGCAAGATCGTCTACATGAATTATTTTGTAACTACAGCTACATGTATAGGAGTAGAGTACATTTATATATGTATTCAAAATGAGACTTAATACTCAAGAATCAAAATGATTTGTTACAATAATAACATACAATCAATTTGCTAAGGGATGTCAAAGACATTGGACCCATTTGGACTTGAACTCATAATAATTATGAATATGTTATCAAATTATGTCATATTAGTATGTTAAATTGAAAATATCATACATACATATATCATGCATAGCCAATATGAAAACTTGTATCAATGTGGTTAATACAAAAATAAATGAATTTCATAATATTATGGCACATCTCGTACATCCAAACTATGCATTTTAACATCAAGATTTCATGCATAAGCATTCATTTACTTTAACTGGTTATTCTACTTGGATGTCATATCTCTGAAATGAACACATATTGAGCACTGTCAAATTGGAATTGAGCGACTTGGTGATTTAATTGCACCCATTCAGCTGTTTTATCAACTACGGGACCAAAATGAAGATGGGAGATCATGTACGTCACGATGGCGCTTCACAAAGGCAGTAAAAGACGATACACAGTTTCCAATAAAGTGATCGGATTTTCCTAAAATGGCTAAGTCTATCAGTGGTAACCAGGGGTCTAAATGGTGAACCTTAACCTGGAAAATCGAGAAGGAAACATTATATTTCATTATTTCTTTATCTATAATATTATATTAATCATTAATTCATCATTAAAAATAAAATGGTCTTGATTTTCCTACCACTGTTTAACTTAATAGGGAATAATTCACTCATTAATGTAAAATGTTCTTGAATCTTAATAATTATTCTATTCACAATAAAATCTACAGAAGTGAATGAAATTAAGGACTGTGCATGTGAATTAATGTTTAGAGGACATCACACTATGTGACATTATATCAAATGACATAACATAACAAACCTTTTGTTCTTTTAAATGTTGTTCTAATTCTTTGATCATTGGGTTCTTGTCTGTGGCAACAAAAATGTGTTTAGCATTAGTCTTCAGCACGGCATTTTTCACTTGCCTGAAATTAACAATATCAGAATTTGGTACTAAATAATAACATAACATGTCCAATGAAATGGGATCCATGAAAAAATATGTGTAAAACTGTAAATTGTATATACACTCCCCTCCATAAGCTTGGCAACAAGAGGATTTATCAACAATCCACAGGGAGACTTCTGACTGCTAAACTTAGAGTGGGGGATGTACATGTATGTATCGCATGAAAGAGTAATAAAGAATATGATATATATTGGAAGAGAATGACTTTGCAATCAATTATCATACTTATAATCAAAGAAAATGTGAAGTACTTTAAATATAAATAAATACATATACTGTATATCTACTCTAGGTGAAAGCCACAAGTCTAGTTGTTGTTATTAGCATTTATAAGGTTCTGTCATACGAGGCTGGGCATTTAAAGTGGTGTGGCTTCTGATGAATTTAATAATTTGAATTCTATCATTAATAAATATTAGAAACATCCAGATGGATGGGGGCCTACCTAAGTATGGTTTCCTCTGATGGATAGCATATTTCTTTGGTGAGTGGTTCTGTATTTTGATAACCCATACATTGTGGAGATGCCATGTATTTAGTCCCTCCCTCTACATGTGCACATGCATTCACCTGTGAAGAAAGATTAATATATTAATTCCTTGATATATGGTTTATTCAATCACCTAATAATAATGATATTCAAAATGTTCAATAAAGTTTATTTGTAGAATGTATTCATTTTAAAACTACATGTATGTCAGTAGTTGCATATCTTAATAAAAGTATTAGTTTATTTGAATGGTGTCAAAAAACAACCATAAAATACAGAATCGTCAATTATGTACCGCTAATTACATACTTTTCAATTCTACAAACTATCTATAACTATAGTCAGTGTACATAATCATTACATACCCAATCCCCTCCATTCCTAAGGTGTATCCCAACGTAAGGTTCCCCATGGAATGTGTCATCCACATACTGCTGTGCCTCCCCTTCTATTGCATCTGACCATTCGAGGTATTGCTGTAAATGCACATGGTGCTCCTGTATGGGGAACCTGGCTGGAGCCCCTTTAAATGCCATCACTGGGTGATCTGCTGGGGGATACCTGAAGGTAGATTAACATTGAGGCCATATATAAGCTGGAGCCCCTTTAAATGCCATCACTGGGTGATCTGCTGGGGGATACCTGAAGGTAGATTAACATTGAGGCCATATATAAGCTGGAGCCCCTTTAAATGCCATCACTGGGTGATCTGCTGGGGGATACCTGAAGGTAGATTAACATTGAGGCCATATATAAGCTGGAGCCCCTTTAAATGCCATCACTGGGTGATCTGCTGGGGGATACCTGAAGGTAGATTAACATTGAGGCCATATATAAGCTGGAGCCCCTTTAAATGCCATCACTGGGTGATCTGCTGGGGGATACCTGAAGGTAGATTAACATTGAGGCCATATATAAGCTGGAGCCCCTTTAAATGCCATCACTGGGTGATCTGCTGGGGGATACCTGAAGGTAGATTTACATTGAGGCCATATATAAGCTGGAGCCCCTTTAAATGCCATCACTGGGTGATCTGCTGGGGGATACCTAAAGGTAGATTAACATTGAGGCCATATATAAGCTGGAGCCCCTTTAAATGCCATCACTGGGTGATCTGCTGGGGGATACCTAAAGGTAGATTAACATTGAGGCCATATATAAGCTGGAGCCCCTTTAAATGCCATCACTGGGTGATCTGCTGGGGGATACCTACAGGTAGATTAACATTGAGGCCATATATAAGTAACGAGAATGGTATAATGAAATACAGGTGCAAGTTAAGTACTTGGTTCTGATTAAAGCATTTTCTCAAATGATGAGGGGTTGTGTTTTTATACTTTTTATTTCTACAAAAATAAGGCATAAGAGGAATTCCAATGCTTATGCATGGGTTTATACGAGGAGAGCTGATATGTACAGGTAAGTGGGAATCTGAATCAGATAATAAGCTTATCCAAACCTCTTGTAACAAATCGGAATTTATGTACCAGTATGATTAGAAATATGAGTTTTAGACCATTAAGGGTAAAATTCAGTAGATAACTCACAATTTTCCCCACCTCCAGAGCTCTGTGTCATGGAAACTGATCTGGTAGATCATATACTCATCAAAGTCAACACCTAGCCCATCCCAGAATGGGCCAAATGGGTTGCCTGAAATGTGAGAGGAAATAAAACATACGAGAATAAACATAAATATCTTCCTACTTTATTGCACATATAAGGATGCCATGTATTCAACACAATTATAGCTACCTTAGATCAGAGACGAATAAAAATAAATAAATTGAGTTTTAAATCTGGTCAAATTGAAATGCATTCCTATATCAACTGTGTACTGTATACCTTCTTTCATTTTACATGTTTCTTTTGTGTTACTAGGCAACCAGCACCATCCAATCCTCTTTCCAACAGGCCAATACTTGGGAGCGAGATACTTCATGAAGTCATCTGCTAAGATCACACGGTGGTACTTTCTTATTTGTTCAACTTTGAACCATTCATCAAATGGAACATTTTTCTGCAAACAATTTGAATTGTGATAATGCAATACTTACTCATTTTCAATTAATTTATAAAAATATATCAAAACAACTACAACTGCAGTATATCTAATGCTTAAAGGTTCCGTGAAAAGTCTGAAAATAAAAACTTAACTTGAGGCCTTTAAACTATGACAGTTGGTGTCACAGTGACTTTATCACAGAGCCAATTTAACTGTTGATAAACATAATGTAAATAAACAAATAAATAATAATATAATGTAAATTAATTGTAAATTAAACCTCAATTTTGTACATTTGTTTCATTTATTATATCCTTCAAGATAACACATCATGTAATAATTGCCTTGTATTATCTATCAATATATCCCCAAAAGAAACTTCACAAACTCTACTTACATATGTCCTCCAAGGAGGTAGAATGAGTGTTCTGTTGAGGGACTTGGCAAATGCTAGACCTCCAAGGTAGTGATCAGCCTGGTTACCAAACCTTCCTGCAATGATAGGACACATGAAAGGTCAATTTCACCAAATATTTGTTGCATGTACATGTATATTTATATAGTATATGCATGTCTGTTATGTATTGGGAACTTACACTAGACAGTTAAACAGTTTTCTTTATATTTTAGGCTGAATGGTTGGAATGATATATATATGATCAACCATTTAGCCACAATTCTGAATCATGTTTCTTGTATTTAGATATACATGTACAGTAAAAGTAATAAAGAAAAATAGCAATCCTGCTCACCCATGCAAGGGCAGAAGATCACATATCCATTAACATCCCAAATGAACTCTGATTCCCTGCTGACATCATCAGAGATCACACATTGCAGAAATGACAGTAAGAGTAACTTGCTCCACAATGGTGCCATACTTAATTAACTGTAAATCGTGTATGGCTGAATCGACTGTATCACAATACATGTACATCTACATGTAGGTAGTCTTCAAGTCAGCATTTCTGAAAAGAACATACAATTATGCTTTTTACATCCACTTTTGGTTTACTTATAAACACAAGTTGTAATTTAAATTAATCAGAGATCAATCAATTGTTATTGCATCAGCCATGTGATATCAAAATTATGATTAGAGGATTGACTTTTTTATATGAAATGATATGAACATTATAAATTAATCTTATTACTTTGTGATTGTAACAAGTAAATACAAAGCACATGTAAATGTTGTTTTGAAATATTGTGATACTAAAACTATCTTGATGAAATACCTGTAATACATGCAATATACATACAGGGTGTCTCAAAACAAACTGCACCAAAGACAAAACATGGTATAACTCGACTGTGAGTGATGATTATTCTTGAAAGGTCGTCTGCCCATAATATCAGTAACTTCCACAAGTTTCATCAAGTACAATGTAACACTACAGGTAACTTTTTTTAGTTTTAGAGAAAAGCCTTTTAGTACCACAATCCATATTTCCATGATTTACACCCTCCCCCCCCAAAAAAAACAAATTACAGTAAAACCTGTATATCTGAACACCTGGCTAATCCTAAAAACCTTCCAATTTGAACACTTTTTTTCGGTCCCATTTTTTCCTTCCATTGACTCCCATGTTAAAAAAACCTTGAAATCTGAACACCTCCTAATCTGAACAGTGAACAATCAGATTTGAAAAACTGACCTGTCTAATCTGAACATTTTATCAGAAATCAAATGTCTGGACATTTCAATAATAGCCACATATTGAGTCAATGTTATAGTTCTTATTATCTTTACATATGCAATGTAATCAAAGAACCAATATTGTCCTAATTAACTTATTTAAGTCTCAATGACATCCCTAATTGTGGAAAACAACAGGAAAGGTGTGAATACAGGAGTTAATTGGTTTATCCTATTAGAAAAGAACTGAATGTTTTATGTTTGGATTAAGAGAAAGATGTGAATCAAGAAGATAATTGGTTTATCCTTATTTTACATTAACTGGGTGTTTTTGATTTGGATTATGAACAAGTCTTAACTGTTTTATATCCCATGAGTCTGTTATGATAGCTAGGATTCAATCAGTAAATGTTTTATAATCACAGAGACAACACAGACACATTTGCAGACAAGATTATAATTGTTTTATCATTATTAGAAATTACCTGGATGTTTTTGATTTGGATTAAGAGAAAGGTGTGAATCTGGGAGATAATTGGTTTATCCTTATTTCAAATTAACTGGATGTTATTGATTTGGATTATTATGAACAAGTCTTAACTGTTTTATATCCCATGGGTCTGTTATGATAGCTAGGATTCAAGCAGTAAATGTTTTATAATCACAAAGACAACACAGACACATTTGCAGACAAGATTATATCATGAGAAAGAGAATTCAACTTCGTAATATCCTATCACTAAAATGCCTCCTAAAAAGGCACATCAGACATACTGAATGCCCTTGATATTTTGAAAGATTATGCATCATCTCGAATGAGCAGTCGTGAAAAATTCTTTTTAATTGAAGAGGGTATCTACTCAAATATTGCTAATGCTAAAAGTGCCAAGAAACAAACAACAATGAACGACTTTTCAAGCTAAAGTAAAGCAGTGCTATGTAACCATAATATGAGATAAGTCATTTAATAAGCATAAGATTTCGTATAAGACTATCATATACTTATTCAGTGTATTACAAAGTTTTTGCCAAAATTAAAGAGTTATTTTTCCAAAAATAATGAAATTGTTCAAAATGTAAATAAAACATAGCATATACATGTAGGCTACAGGCCTATTGTAGAATAAACTCATCAACAACATGTATTGTTTTCTGACTATGTATTAAGTGTTCAATATAGTGGTCTGAACAATGAAAATCCCCCCCCCCCCCGACCAACAATATCCTCGAAATTTGAACACCTGCCAATTTGAACGCTTTTGGCTGGTCCCATGGGTGTTCGGATTAGACAGGTTTTACTGTATGTAAATTACATGTACAGGGTGGTAAAAAAACGGAAATCCTGTCGGCATTTTCCTCATATCTTTGTCATGATAGGAAATTACTTCCTGATATTTGACACATTTGTACATCATTCAATTTCCCACCGGCCTACCATATTTCATGACAATCAAATTGATAGTCTTTTGGCAAACCTGCACCATCATCCAAAATGTCCCTACCTAACGTGTGGTGTTAAGACCAAAAAGAGGGTACGAGAATAACCCCAGGATAACTACAGACCTCAAAAAGAAGATCATCCATGTCATTCAGGCCATACCTGCTGAAAAATGGAGTAAGATTTACTCGAGTCTCCAGCCAATTCTTGGCTTGAAGTAATTTTTTCATCTGGAACAAGCTGGCCATCGTGTTATAAATTTATTAAATATTTTAAAAATTGCCAGATAAACCAGAACAACGGCAACGCCAAAGCGTAGCGAATCCCATCGAACAGAAATGGCTGGCATTTTTACAAACGAAATATACAGCAAATATCATAAAAACACACCAGAAAGGCCACCATTTTCAAAATGGTTGCTCACTAGCCAAGTTGTCATCAGAAGAAATAATATGCTCTTAAGTAGCCACCTATAAAATTTTTGAAAAATCGCACACATGTACTTGTAAAATAACACACATAAAAATGGTGGCCATTTTTCAAAATGGCCGACTACACCCCAAAGTTTTATTAGACAATGTGCCATGCTTAGAGTATTCACATATCAAATATGAACAAAATCGCTCCACTACTTTTCGAGTTATAGTAAAAAATGTAAAAATGACAGCCATTTTTTAAAATGTCCGCCTACTACCTGGAGTGTCATGAGACAGTGTGCAAGGCTCGTGAGTATTCACATATCAAATATGAACAAAATCGCTTCACTACTTTTCAAGTTATAGTAAAAAACTACCTTAAGTGTCATTAGACAGTGTGCGATGCTTTTAGTATTCACATACCAAATATAAACAAAATCGCTCCACTACTTTTCGAGTTATAGTAAAATACGTTAAAAAGGCGGCCATTTTTCAAAATGGCCACCTTCTACCAAAAGTGTCATAGGACAGTGTGCCCTGCTTATAGTATTCACATACCAAATATGAACAAAATCGCTCCACTACTTTTCGAGTTATAGTAAAATACGTTAAAATGGCGGCCATTTTTCAAAAAAAAATTTCAAAATGGCCGCCTTGTACCAAAAGTGTCATAGGACAGTGTGCCATGCTTATAGTATTCACATACCAAATATGAACAAAATCGCTCCACTACTTTTCGAGTTATAGTAAAATACATTAAAATGGCGGCCATTTTTCAAAAAAAAAATTCAAAATGGCCGCCTTGTACCAAAAGTGTCATAGGACAGTGTGCCATGCTTATAGTATTCACATACCAAATATGAACAAAATCGCTCCACTACTTTTCGAGTTATAGTAAAATACGTTAAAATGGCGGCCATTTTCCAAAATGGCCGCCTTCTACCAAAAGTGTCTTTAGACAATGTGCAATGTTTATAGTATTCACATACCAAATATGAACAAAATCGCTCCACTACTTTTCGAGTTACAGCAAAAATCGTAAAATAACGAGTTAAGGCCGCCATTTTTCAAGATGGCTGCCATGTGGTTTTTTAATATCTACATTTGTAGCTTTATTAATGTCCTTTATAATTTTTTTACACTAAAAACATATTGCTATTACAGTTTTACATATTGCACCTAAATTACTGTAAAATCGGCACTAAAATGGCCGCCATTTTGAAATGAGTGGCCATTTTGAAAATTGGCTTTCGAGCAGAACTCCTACCCCCATAGGGTATATGTGTACAAAATATGAACAAAATCGGGCCAACGGTATTTGAGTTATTGCCCGGACGGACGGACAGACGGACGGACGGACGGACGTACGTACGGACGGACGGAGGCGTTCCCTATATCCCTCCGAACTTCGTTCGATGGGATAATAAATCATGAATTAAAATGGGACTGGATGGGGTCCTTGATGAGATATTGCATGATTTCGTCAGGATTTCGTCTAAAATTAAAATAAACAGCTCCAAGAAAAATAGCGATATTCGAAAACTGGACAAAATGTTGTTAATGCTGACATTAGTAATTGGCTGTAAATTTTAAGTTAGCGATCCAGAAGATGTGAACTAATACATTGATCACTTCATGTGTGTTTTGGAATTTTTGGTGAGGTAATAAGACCAAAACTCACAATTCAAATTGTGATGTGGAAAAAGTGGCGAACATTTGATTTCAAATTTTATGAATACGACATGACCTGTATACAGCAGTAAAAAACATGGAGGGATTTATCTTTGGACGAAGACGTCCCGTCAAAGTAACTAGTTGTGGAACAGTGTTAGAAGAAGGTAAAGTCAGATCATTGACAACCTGTTCAGATTTCCCAATAGCGCGATGGTGGCCACACTTGGGCATCTTCAAAGAAATGAGGAAGTGAAAATTTAACATATTATCGCCCGTTTCTTTTTAAAACAAACATATTTTCAAATATAAGAAATATACCAAAAAGACACTACATTTAAACATATCACGACCATAAGTTCTACTATTGTTACGTTTTACTTACATGCATAGGTGTGTATTTATGCCAGGAGTGGCATTAATATGCTAAGCTTCACTCAAAAATTGAAATCAAAAATTGAAATCAAACATGTGCGCTAGATATACGAACGAACAATAAGATTACTCGTTCTGATTTTTAACATGGTGTATTTCCATTATAGTGATTGTGCTTGAACAATGTGAGCCAATGTGGTTGTTCTATACCATGTTATTGTTATTGTGTAATGTGAACCATGGTGGTTGATTCATTCCACGTTATTGTGGTTGTACAGTGTAACGAGGTGGTTGTGCTATACCGTGTTATTGTGATTGTGTAATGTGAACTATGGTGGTTGATCAATACCATGTTATTGTGGTTGCACTGTGTAACGAGGTGGTTGTGCTAAACCATGTTATTGTGATTGTGTAATGTGAACCATGGTGGTTGATTCATACCATGTTATTGTGGTTGTACAGTGTAACGAGGTGGTTGTGCTATACCATGTTATTGTGATTGTGTAATGTGAACTATGGTGGTTGATTCATACCATGTTATTGTGGTTGTACTGTGTAACGAGGTGGTTGTGCTATACCATGTTATTGTGATTGTGTAATGTGAACTATGGTGGTTGATTCATACCATGTTATGGTGGTTTTACTGTGTAACGAGGTGGTTGTGCTATACCGTGTTATTGTGATTGTGTAATGTGAACTATGGTGGTTGATTCATACCATGTTATGGTGGTTTTACTGTGTAACGAGGTGGTTGTGCTATACCGTGTTATTGTGATTGTGTAATGTGAACCATGGTGGTTGATTCATACCATGTTATTGTGGTTGTACAGTGTAACGAGGTGGTTGTGCTATACCATGTTATTGTGATTGTGTAATGTGAACTATGGTGGTTGATTCATACCATGTTATTGTGGTTGTACTGTGTAACGAGGTGGTTGTGCTATACCATGTTATTGTGATTGTGAAATGTGAACCATGGTGGTTGATTCATTCTATGTTATTGTGGTTGTACTGTGTAATGAGGTGGTTGTGCTATACCATGTTATTGTGATTGTGTAATGTGAACTATTGTGGTTGATCCATACCATGTTATTATGGTTGTACTGTGTAACGAGGTGGTTGTGCTATACCGTGTTATTGTGATTGTGTAATGTGAACTATGGTGGTTGATTCATACCATGTTATTGTGGTTGTACAGTGTAACGAGGTGGTTGTGCTATACCATGTTATTGTGATTGTGTAATGTGAACTATGGTGGTTGATCCATACCATGTTATTGTGGTTGTACTGTGTAACGAGGTGGTTGTGCTTTACCGTGTTATTTTGATTGTGTAATGTGAACTATGGTGGTTGATTCATACCATGTTATGGTGGTTGTACTGTGTAACGAGGTGGTTGTGCTATACCATGTTATTGTGATTGTGTAATGTGAACTATGGTGGTTGATTCATACCATGTTATGGTGGTTGTACTGTGTAACGAGGTGGTTGTGCTATACCATGTTATTGTGATTGTGTAATGTGAACTATGGTGGTTGATTCATACCATGTTATTGTGGTTGTACTGTGTAACGAGGTGGTTGTGCTATACCATGTTATTGTGATTGTGTAATGTGAACCATGGTGGTTGATCCATTTCATGTTATTGTGGTTGTACTGTGTAACGAGGTGGTTGTGCTATACCGTGTTATTGTGATTGTGTAATGTGAACCATGGTGGTTGATCCATTTCATGTTATTGTGGTTGTACTGTGTAACGAGGTGGTTGTGCTATACCGTGTTATTGTGATTGTGTAATGTGAACCATGATGGTTGATTCATTCCATGTTATTGTGATTGTACAGTGTAACGAGGTGGTTGTGCTATACCGTGTTATTGTGATTGTGTAATGTGAACCATGATGGTTGATTCATTCCATGTTATTGTGATTGTACAGTGTAACGAGGTGGTTGTGCTATACCGTGTTATTGTGATTGTGTAATGTGAACCATGGTGGTTGATTCATTCCATGTTATTGTGATTGTACAGTGTAACGAGGTGGTTGTGCTATACCGTGTTATTGTGATTGTTTAATGTGAACTATGGTGGTTGATCCATACCATGTTATTGTGGTTGTTACTGTATACAGAGGTGGTTGTGCTATACCATGATACTATGTATTTTGGATTGTGCAATGCGTACGGTTGTGGTGAATCATGTAATTAAGATTGTTCAATGATTACTTGAATGGTTGTGCTATACCATGTAATTGTGAGGTAGTTTTGCTAAACCAGGTAATTCTGATTGTGTAATAAATACCAATTGGTTGTGTTATAACATGTAATTGAAATTGTTCAATGATTACTTGAATGGTTGTGCTTTTATTATTATTATATCTTGGTTACCGCCATATTTGGCGAGCAATACCTCATTGGTATATTCCGTATTTTACATATTTTACACTCGAAGATAGAGCCAGAAACCCCTCCTTGGAGGAGCCCTGTGTTCTTTTGTGTGCACAGGTACACAGACATACAGGTACACACAACAGCCTTTTATATGAGTCGTGAACCACGCAGTCAAACACCCAGAATTACATAACGCAGTACGCACTAACAAACTTGTCTGAACCGGGAATCGAACCCGAGGCCAAGCGATATTGGTAACCCTGACTCCTGCTATACCATTGGAATTGTGAGTTGGTTGTGCTAAATCATATAATTGTGTTTGTGCAATATGTGTCATGGTGCTTGTGCTGCACCATGTATTTTTGATTGTGCAATATTTACTAGGGTGGTTAATCAATACCATACAATTGTGGTTGTGAAATGTGTACCAAGCAAGTATGATACTTTCAAAATAAGTGGGTGGTGTTTTTTGTATCACCCTTTATTTCAGCCTACCATACATTTGTGGTTGTACATTTTGTACCATGGTGATTGTGCTATGCACAAATGGTTGTGCAATGACTACCAGGGTGATTCGTTCAATATTCTAATCTTATATGTTCATACCCTGGCATACAGATGTATCTATATGTGAGGCAAGAAGTCTTCATTTCAAGGGAAAATAATTTAGGCCTTGCTTTCATGTGTTAAGAGGCTAGTTTCTTAATTTGAGAGAAGTGGGTATAGCAACTCCTCCTGGTTTTAATATTGATGTATGCAATTTTACATTGTCTTCAGATAGCTGCAAATGGTGTGGAAATAATGTGACAGTAGGTCAACTTCTTTCAATTAATTGTTTTAATGGAAATTCACACAAACCTGATTGCATGAATCAGGAGAGCCTGTTCTAAATGCGTGTCTTAAACAAATATAATACTACATGTTCAAACTCAATATGAGGAAAATTGGTCTTCTGGTTTTGAGTGCACGGACAGAGTGCACATCAATTTATGAAGTGTGTTTTATGGATGATTAAGAAGTGACTTTCTTTGTTCATCCAATGGGAAATATAGTGACAGTATCTTTCATATTTTCCAATGGGTATTTATTTGAATGAGTGGTGAATCAAAATAGATCCTTCAGCTTTATAAGGTACTACTTTACTTTCAACAAAAGGTCCAGTAGACAAAGAGCACTGAGATCAAAATTCCAATGATCTGATTCAGCTAAAATACAAAATGCTCTTTTCTGATAGATATGAATGAACTACTTGATTTGGCGCTACTTATGTTGGCGGATTTGCTGCTTTGAACATTTGGGGGCTTCTTAATGTAGTGGACTTGCAATGCTACAATGCACAAATGATAATAATTTACATGGTAATAAAATCAATGGGGAATTTGGTGGCTACTTAATATGGCAGACTTTAACAATTTGGCGGACTTTAACAATTTGGCGGACTTTAACAATTTGGCGGATCAAATTAAAGTGGCTGCCAAGTTAAGTAGAAGTACACAACATATTCTGATTTTAAATACAGATAACACAACACTGATTATTGTCAAAAGTTGTTATTTAAATCATAATAACAAACAAATACAATTCAATTTTAGAATTGTGGTTATATCATTAGCCTTGCCCAGGTCAGTATTTTTTTACTTATCTGATCTTGACTTATTACCGGCAGTCATAATAGAAATCAAGAAAAGTAAGAGACCAGCTTGGGCAAGGCTATTATATCATTAACTCAAAATAAATCCCCACCAACATACTGTAGGAAATCTGAACATTTCACTCTATTAATGAACACCCTTGTGAAACACCTATGGGCTTATAAGTGAGACACCCAAACATTTTAAATGAGGTAGAAATGATACTCCCACAGATTGTTAAATAAGACAATCAATGTCATATTTCTCATTCTATCATTAGCTGAACATTGATCACATGACATGACATGGTGTTTGATTTCCCTGTTAAACTTATTCTGTATAGACATGTAAACATAAACAAGTTTTGCTCTGACGAGTAAATATTTCTTATGCTTGATTCTTAGATACTTCTGATTGAGGCCCTCTGATACGTTCTGAAGAGAAAAAAAATATCCTTCTTTTGGGGCCACAGAATGAGAAACCTAGCATTGAATAATAAAACAATTATTTCATTTCATTTTTGAGAGTACCCATTCAACTTTCGTAGTTATCTTCTCAAATGTCCAAACACATCAAAACAATTGTATAATGTGGTATATTTATGTACATGTATTCTATTATAACATCAAATCAGTATTAACTTGCTATATTTAGAAATTATTTACATATGGTAAAAATTATTGTCACTCTTACTACACTCTTTACTACTGTACCATACACAGTAGACATATGTACGAATGAGGCCACTAAAAAAAGCCTTTTTACATGATTTAAAATCTAAAAACAGCATGATTTTGCAACTCCAAGATCAGAACTTACAATGAACTTATTAAACGACCTCGTATATCATGGGCACTACTAGTTACCACACCTCATGATATATATATTGAGTATCATGATATTTGAATATGGCTGTCACTATTGTAGCTAAGACATGGGGCTATATTTGTAAGAAGACTCAGTGATGCAATTGTAGTATGTTGAGTTTTGTATAATGCCCATGTATATGATATAAAATAACTAAATTGAGTTAAATAATCCATCCCAATGAGGAGTGCCTTTTGCATTTTTGTCATATTTTTAGGGATTAAATCTGTTTTGAATGGAGCGCAATAACAGATGCCCTGAAGAGATTACATAGTATTTCTACAAATATAAATTGTGACACTTCAATTTCCAGGTACATTCATACAATATCAATTCACTGAGTAACTGTCACCATGGTGATGGATAATCGATATAGTTATACAATCACATGATTTTCATGTCATTTGGTTAAAAAAACAAATGGTTTCATTGAGGCACTGGATCCATATACTCTACTTGTGTAGGTATCTCAAAAGATTCTGTCTCAGGAATAACCTGAACCGAGTCTACAACTAATTCCTCTGTTACAGTCTTCAGCTGATTCTCACCAAATATTCCCAAATCTGTTCCATGTTCTGCCATAAAGTGAGCACTTAATTCAACTTCTGTTTTATATAGGGTGTCACAATCTGCACATGAGTAATAGGTATCCAGATAATTTGCTCCATCAATCTCTACTTCATCCCCATCTGGAATTGGGAGATTATTACTGATGGCAGGTTCATTGGAGGTTTCATTTGGTGTAATACTATATTTATAATCATTTGTATCATCACCTTCATGCGTTTTCTCATGTTCGTAGATATCGCGATCTGTTGGTGCACTGAAGTTACACATGCTACAGCGATAGCGCTTCTTGAAGCCATGTTTCAATAACATGTGTGAATTCCATTGATCTTTCTTAATACCCGCCCAGCAACAGAGGTCACAGTCAAATGGCTTCTCTCCTAGAAATATAAGCGATATTACATACAGTTAAACCTGTATACCAGAGTTTCTTCCGAATAGGCCCTTGGGCATTTATTTGAAAGAGGAATGGATAAAAAAAATTTCCCTCTTTATAAAGAACCATGGGAGTTTATTTTTTATCAATAATATCCCTCTGAATTGTAACATGGCCATTTTCCTATTTTTATATATCTCACTTTTCATATTGATCAGTCCTCTATACTTCCCCTATTCTCATTTTAACAGGTCCCTAGTTTACTATTGTATCAGTGCCAAATGTTTTAATCCTTTTGTTTGTCATGCCTTACCTTTTCACTATCTTTTGTTTCAAACCAGTTTTAGCTTTTCATGTTGTATGTTCAATGTTGTTTTGTATTGTGTACTAGTAACTTCCATATATGGAAACTCACTTGAGTTTGGGTGTTGGCCCAGCCTTAGTAGTTGCTTTGAGATTGTACAGAGAACACTGTGTTTGTTTAGTTGGAATAGACGATTTTATATACTATTTTAACTTTAGTTTTCTGCTATATTATATCGCCACCCACGGCCTTAGCCCCGGACATTACAGAATAAACACCCATCCCCCTTGAAAAGTTTTTCCTCCTATCAAGGCCCAATAAACGCCATGTGCAAAATAATGGACTTATTCGGGAGAAATTCCTGTATGCCTCCTGAATATAATATACATGAACAATCAATTAATTATGTTATTTTATGCTATAAAAACAGTGTTTTTGAAATAAGTGTTACTAGGATGAAATAGGAACAAGTGTTCCTTACACACAGGGGTCATGTAATATTTTCACATGTTAACATAATTCTTGATTTTCATATTGTTATCAAATTATTGTTTAGTGTGACTGAAGTCCTCTTTAAATCTAAAGGAGCTACAATTCCTTAAACACAATTTGGTTATATTAAAACTCATAGTATGATGTACAGCAGTACAGCGTGTTAAAGGGAAAGCAAAATAACATACCTGTATGAGTAAGCAAATGGCGCTTGTGCAAAGCTAGATCGTTAGATTTGTAAGAACATGTAGGGCATGAATATGATTTTGCATTCACTCCATGTTGTTTTGCCAAATGGAATCTTAGCTCAGAGAACTTAAGTCCGCAGTAGGGACAGATTTCTTGTCCAACTATGTGCATTTTATACCTACAAAAGAGACCGAATGTAAATGTGAAAAATATGCCAACATTTCAATAGTCCTGACAGTATTGCCTCTGAGCCATACAGAAGTATACTTGAGCAGTGAAGGCACATTTGGCTTAAATTGTCAAAACAATGCAATACGAGTTAGCAGTATAGCAAACCTATATATAACTAGATTTGTGAAATTGAACAAGTTCAATTTAAGACTCCAGATTTATTTGACCTAGATAGATCAGTAAAGAGCTGAGTAAGTAACTGAGTAATTAGCTGAGTAAGTACCTAAGTAGTAGTTGAGTAAGTAGCTGAGTAAGTAACTGAGTAAAAAGCTGAGTAGGTAGCTGAGTAAGTAGCTGAGTAAGTACCTGAGTTAGAAGCTGAGTAAGTTGCTAAGTAAGTAATAACTAATTAAGTAATTGAGTAAGTAGTCAAATAAGTAGCTGAGTAGGTAGAGAGGTAAAGTAGGGTATGCAGTATGCAGTATATTTGATCAATCTGCATCGTGAATACTGGCAAGTGCGAATTTCAAACTTCAAAATGGCGTAGAATCTAAACCGGGGGTCGGATTGCAATTTTAATTTCAGATCCGGATTCCTGAGGAAATTCTACCCCTAATTCATAACTCATACTTTAAAATTGGAGAACTTTTATTTTGACCTACATTTCAGACACCATATCTCAAAAGTGGGTCAAAAAACTTATTGACGGCAAAATGTTAACATTATTAGCACACTCTTTGCTACAAGTATACAAAATTTAGGAGAATATCATTGAAGTGTAGTGTCAGAATCGCAAAATAAAAAAAACTATGAATTTGACCTAGATTTTGAACTAGGTATTTTGGTGTCCAAACTTTGAAGGAAAGTAGCTTTTGAGGTCCCCTTCTTCTATAGGCTTTCATTATGTTTAGCTTTACTCATTCTATATCTCGTATTTTTACACTTCAAAAAATTATTCGGTCCCATTGATTTAACATGGGGCATCAAATTTAGCGATTTTTGAGATTTCAAAACGCCATAACTTCCGCACGGGAAGTCGGATCAAAATTTGGTTTGCAGATTCGGATTCCTGATAAAATTCTACCCCTTATTTATAACTCATACGTTAAATTTGAAGATTTTTTTTATTTTGACCTACTTTTGGGACACCATATCTCAAAAGTGGGTCAAAATACTTTCTGACGGCAAAAGGCTAACACTATTAGCACACTCTTGGCTACATGTATACACAATTTTGAAGAATATAATTAAAGTGTAGTGTCAGAATCGCAAAAATAAGGAAAAACCTAGATTTTCACCTAGGCATTTTGGTGTCCAAATTTTTAAGAAAAGAAGGTTTTGAGGTCCCTTTCTTTAATGGGCTTCCATTATGTTTAGCTGTACTTAGTCTATATCTCATATTTTACACTTCAAAAAAATCTTTTTTTCCATTGAATTAACATGGGACACCAAATTTAGCGATTTTTGAGTTTTCAAAACGATATAACTTCTGAACCGGAAGTCGGATCGAAATTTGGTTTTCAGATTCGGAATCCTGAGAAAATTTCCTACAACACCAGTAGCCTGGACATTTAATTGGGAGAACTTTTTTTTGGACCTCGTTTTCGGACACTGATATCTCGAAATCAGTTTGAGATATCAAAAAACTAAATCGACCTATTTTCCCCTACTTTTTTATGAGGAACACAATGAAAAAAAACTGGATTGAAAATATTGAAGGACGAGCGAGAAAATTGAAAAAAGTGACAAAGTACTGGATTTGACCTAGTTCTTGACCTTTGACCTAGATAAAAATTTGACCTAATTTCCCATCATCCCAGATACATTCCCTAGTTGATCATGTAAGCAGCTTAAAGTAAGCTCTTCTAGTTGGTGAGAAATCTTGTAAGGAGGAAGATTCTGAAAGAATAATAATAACTAGACATGTAAATTGAACAAGTTCAATTTAAGACTCCAGATTTCAGACTTTTTTTAAGCTGAGTCATCCAAATACTTGTAAGCTAAGGTGTCCAAATTTTAAAGCTAGATAGCCTTCGAGGTCCCCTTCTTTTATAGGCTTTCAGAATGTTAAGCTGTACTCGGTTTATATCTGGTATTTTACACTTCAAAAAAATCTTTTTTCTCATTGACATAACATGGGGCACCAAATTTAGCGATTTTTGAGCTTTCAAAACGTCAGAACTTCCGAAACGGAAGTCGGATTGAAATTTGGTTTGCAGATTCGGATTCCTGGGAAAATTCTACCCTTAATTCATAGCTCATTTGTTAAATTTGGAGAATTTTTTATTTTGACCTACTTTTCGGACACCATATCTCAAAAGTGGGTCAAAATACTTTCTGACGGCAAAAGGCTAACACTATGAGCACACTCTTTGCTACCTGTATACAAAATTTTGAAGTAAATTATTAAAGTGTAGTGTCAGAATCGTAAAAATAAGGAAAAACTATGAATTTGACCTAGATTTTGACCTAGGCATTTTGGTGTCCAAATTTTGAAGCTATGTAGCTTTTTAGGTCGCCTTCTTTTATAAGCATTCATTATGTTAAGCTGTACTCAGTCTATATCTTGTATTTTACACTTCGAAAAAGTATTTTTTCCCATTGACTTAACATAGGCACCAAATTTAGCGATTTTTGAACTTTCAAAACGCCATAACTTCCGAACCGGAAGTCTGATCCAAATTTGGTTTGCAGATTCGGATTCCTGAGATCATTCTACACTTATTTCATAACTCACATGTTGAATTTGGAGACCTTTTTGTTCTGACCTACTTTCCGGACGCCATATCTCAAAATCGGTAAGAGTAATCAAAATTCTGATGTCATATCTTTGATTCGCCTTTTTCTAAGCTACACGATGAAAAAAAGATGAAGGAGTTACGAAGAATATTGACGAAGATATGATGAAGAATGTTGAAAATGTAAGATTTGACCTAGTTCTTGACCTTTGACCTAGATAAAAATTTGACCTAATTTCCCAGAAAGCCGGATACAGTCTTTAGTTAACCATGTAAGTTGGATTAAGTAAGATGTTATAGTTGGAGAGAAAATCTGTTAGGAGGAAGAAAAAGAATAATAAAAAGAAAACAGGCAAAAACAAATTATATATCCATATTTATATATATTAATGTATACTGTACTCCCAGTTATTTTCGCGCGCTTCTATATAATTTGCGCTTTTCGCGAGTTTTGGAAAATTCGTGAAATATAATAGCCATGAAATTCCTAAAGTTCTAATTTGCAAAATTTGATAGATGCGAAATTCCAAGGAAATTCCCTGGGATTTCAATGTTGACAATATTTTTGTCCAAAGCTAAAAATGTGACATTTCAATACTTAACAAGGCTTAATAAGAATCCGAAGTCATCTGGCAAAGGAACAACCATGCATGGCTGATATCGAAATCAAAAGAGTGACCTTGTATGATAAATCCGCAAAAATTAATTAATTAATTAATGAATCTTATAGGTTAAAGGACAACTGAAATAGCTTTTCTCAACTTGCAGCTACAAAAATGCGGTTTTCTCCATTGTAAGCCCAACGAAGAGTTCTTGCGATAACCATTATAAAATAAATGTTAGATAACTGCTAACAGTCATAGATAACGAAATAAAACTAACTGATCAATCAAATTGGCCCCCACGTGATTAGTAACGGCATATAATAAATATAGCTTTGGTTTATTGGTTCCTTACTAATCACAACGTCACGGCAACCATAGGATTGTTGTGTAAACAAATAACAAAACATTTTGGCATTATGACATCATGATCTAATGGACAAAAACGGGCCACGTGGAGACCAGTGAGAGATCACGTGGGGGCCAATAACATCACAACCAATTCGAATATTGCTTATTAAGCAGCTATAACGATCATGAGAGTGAAATAATTTTCACACTACTGATGAGAAAACATGTCCAAATACATTTATCAAAACATTATATTGATTCCTTTAGGTTAGAAATACCATTTCATATCTGCTTTAAGTAAAAAATAAACCTCAAAATAACATTTAACACTTACGCATGTTTCTTCAACAGATATTTGCTTGTGAATTTAGCCTCACATTTATCACAGGGCAACAGTGTGGCTCCATCATGCTCAAACTCTATATGCGTCTTAAGCTTCTTGTGGTTCTTGAATTTCTTGCCGCAGAGTTTACATTGAGGACAACCTTGTTTATGCCTCACCATGTGGTTGCCAAGGTTTTGTTCACATGTAAATGAAGCTGCACATATTTCACAGATGTACACCTTCCCATTGTTATGTTCTTTATCCGTGTGATATTTCAATTTCTGTCTATCAGCTTTATCAAAATCGCAAAATTCACATTTATATTTTTTCTTCGCATGAAGGAATAAATGGTTCCTGAGTTTTGTTTTTAATGATGCTGGTGTCGGACAACTTGAGGAGTTAACTTTCATTAGTAAACCACAATGTCCACATTTAAACTGTTCTTGGCCCTTTTCATCAATTCCTGTTTCAACCATGTCCAAATAAGGCTGAATGGCTTTCAGTCTTGCTGCTTCTGTTTCTTGTTTTCGTTTCACAGTTTTATCTTTTAACATTTTTACAGTTTTTCCCTTCTTTTTCATGGCTTCATCATTATCTATGATCTCATCACTATGTACTTCATGCACAATATTTTCAAATGTCTCATTGTCATCTTCATCATCTAACATTGGGATATTCTCCACTGCAATTGTTGTTTCTTTAGCAGGTTTTCCCTTCTGCTTGTTATATCCATGATCAATTTGTACAGTATTAGTTACATTCACATCAGGTGTAGAATCAATCGATTCTGTCATAATAATATCAGAGACTTTATCTGCAGCTTTCTCTTCCTGTGTTTCAATAGCTGTAGAAGCTTCTGTCCCTTTCTCCAAGTTGGGTAAAAGTTTAAATAGAGTGGATCCACCTTTATTTTCAATTGGTACCATAGTTACTAGTGCAGGGGCACCCTTAGAAGGACTACAGAGTGCTTGTACAACTTTATTTGGGCTCTTGCTTTTATTCTTCTTGGGTTTGGTAGTCTTTCTCCTTTTAGGTGTTGGTTTATCTTTTACAAGCTCACCTTCTACATTTGATGTGATTTCACTGCCAATTTCGTTAACAATTTTATCAGAGTTTTTCTTTTCAGGAGTATCTTTGGTTATTTTTGATGTCACATTGTTTTTTGAATTAGGTGGGGGTATAACAATAGTATCTCCATCCTCAACGCATGGAACTCTCGCACTTTTAGGTCTAGGTTTAAGTTGTTTGTTTTTACTTGAGATGAAATCAATCAAAGATTTTTCTGTGTCTGAAGTCTTTACCACATGTCTTGGTGTTTTATCTAAGGGTGGCTGTAGTGCTAAATTTGAACATCCCTGCTCCTTGTGTAAGCTCAGTTCAACACTGGACAGGAATCCCCCACTACATGTGATACATACAGTTATAGTCACATTGAAATCTATGTCTGAAAATACATGTGAAATATTTATAGTTATTCTCACATTAAAATCAATTTCTGAAAATATATGTGACACAAATGTTCTGATATATTACACACTATACAGCATCACATTCTAGCCAATCAGAGCAGTCAGAATAGACAAAGTACATCCTAACATTTGTATATGTTAGAATATCAGGTGAATTGTTAATAAAGGAAAACGTTAACCTTGAATATGTGAAAAACTATAATTAGTGGCATACTGATTTAAGCATATGACTCATACATGATGGATCATCTAATACACTCAATATGCCTGTGTATGCTTGAAGCAAGCAATAATACATTTCATCATAACCAGGACTTTGTCTACCAATTCAGAGAACTTGGATATGATATTAGACTGTTAGATACTGGTCAGTACTAACCTGAGTTTACTGTAAAAACCTTATCTTGATTAAGGATGAAGTCAGGTACCCCATGAGCTGATGTTGGATGGAAGGATTCTATGAGACATTGTTCTCTGGAGGAGTCTGTCAAATCTTCATATCTTAATGGATAGTGATACTGTGGCAGGACATCAATGGTTCCTTCCATATGTCTGAAAATAATTTGAGAAAGTTTTTAGAATCTACAAAAAACAATTGAAATGCATCTCGAGTAAAATATGATCAACTATTAACTGCAGCAACTAGACACTTTTTTGAAGAGTTTTCTCAGAGTGGTCAATGCTGTTGGTATCTTCTGACACACATAAATACATGTAGTTTATTTCATTTTAGACCAACATGTGAATATATTGCAGGCCTTGCAACTTATATTATTATACTTGCTCATTATATGAAGTACATGCAATGCAGACTATAACAATGAACATTCATATTAAATAATACATGTAGCAAAACAAATCTACTTACTCATTTTTTACTTCAGATTCATTGTATGTTATTGATTGGTCTGTGCTGAGAGCAGCTTGGATTGAGTCTATTGGTTCTATTTTAACACTTGGATTAAGGTCCAAACCTTTAACAGTGGCAGGTAGCTGTAGATTCTTTGTTTTGATTGGGGACTCTTTTCGTGAGACTTCAGCATCTTGTGGTTGATTCAATTTTCCCAGAAATTCTTGAATTTTAGAAGTAAGTTTTCGTTTACGCTTTGGACGTTCCATTTTTCCTAAATAAAAGAAAAAAGTAAATTATAACTGATTATTTCAAAAACATTTCATAAAGCGTTGTCTGTGTACTTGGTACAATTTCACCGTTTTAACCTTCATCAGAGTCCTCCGTTCATGAGTGCTATCTATTTTAGTATGTTCTAGCATAGCCAGGACGAGGCAGATAAGGCACTTGCTGCCTCATTGCTTTTATACACACTTTGAGAATATTCCTTTATCTATGTTACAGTAATTGTCATCAATTTTAGAGTAAGGTGAAAAAATGGTGACCGTGAATCAAATCTGACAAATGTGACACCATTTATTTATTTATAATTGTATGTGACACACAGACATCTATCCTCGAAGTCTTTTGAAAGAATACATCCGAATGGACATTTTGGCACAGAATTGATCCGGAAAGTCTTCAAATACTTTCACAATCGAAGGAAGTCGATACATTTTTGACCAGTGGCTTTTGGTTGCATTGATTTCACATCAAAATTAGAGCTCATTTTAAGCGTGCATATCTCAGTCCATAGTGAACAGAATGAGTTACTCTTTGCGTCATTTTGACTGTTGGATTACCTGGAATACAGGATATCTAGACTGGTCAACAGGGAGTAATATTCCACAACAGAAGGCAGTATTCTGAGGTTATAAAATATAAATCGAAAAAAATTCTATTTCTAGAATTCCTGAATTGAACAAAGAAGTGAATGTTGCGATCTTTCAACTTTAGATCATTGTTTGTCACTACTTAATGTGTGGTGTTTTCATTTACTTATTTCAATGCATCATTTCAGGTCTTTATGATTCATAAAATCAAGTTTCCTATCATAATATCTTGAATAAAGTTTGATAGATTATATAATTGCTGTGTAAATCTTATTTCACTATTGTATAAATTCTAATCCAAGATATAATGTATATTGTGTTTTGTAAAGTTTTTTGTTATTTATATATTGTATGAATGGATTTTTATTCCGAATGATGCATATATCTTACTTATCTAACTTATCAGTTACATGTACATACATTTGAACAGACCTGACATCTTTTTATAAAACTACATGTGCTACATGTGAGTGATTTCCGTCATGCACAAAGCCTAGTTAGAAAATTTTTGATTCATGGAAAACATAATTTTATGAGCTGATTTAAAATTCCAAGTACACATATAGAAACTCTCGTTAATAGAAAATATTGGTTATGTAAGACAATACAAACACTTCAACTAAAAAATGCACAACATGCCGGAATGCTTGTCAAGTTTTATTGATTCAAATATTGTTTGTGTTTTTTGAATAAAGTTGATTTTAATTTAAATAGTCAGTAGCTTCAGCAGCCTTCCTAAAATATTTGACATCGCTATCTCGGAACATTTTCTGAAAACCATTTTCTTCTTTGAAGACATGGTTGAGCGACAAGTCATAAGTCACGTGATATCATCTAGAAACTAGACACGTGATCAGACACATGACTGGCAAAATGGATGATCGTTTTGTTGTAGCCTTCACAATGAAACCTCGGACGAGAGATGACATAGAACATACTGGTAAGTAGATACATGGTTACATCAAATCATTTCTTTATTTCAACTTACTTGAGTCTCTAGCCAATTCTTGGGTAGAAGTAATTTCATCTGGAACACCATGAACCATTTGAAAAAAGCTGGCTGGCGTGTTATTTTATTAAATATTCTAAAAATCGCCAGAAAAATATATCATGAATTAAAATGGAATGGGCTGGGCTCCTTGATGAGATATTGCATGATTTCGTCAGGATTTCATCTAAAATTTAAACAAACGGATCCAAGAAAAATGGTGATATTTGAAAAACTGGAGGAAATGTCGTTAATGTCTGACATTAGTAACTGGCTGTAAATTCTAAGTTAGCGATCCAGAAGATGTGTACTAATACAATGATCACTTCATGTGTGTTTTGGAATATTTGGTGAGGTAATAAGACCAAAACTAGCAATTCAAATTGTGATGTGGAAAAATGGCGAACATTTGATTTCAAATTTTATGATTACGACAAGACCCATACACAGCGAATAAAAAATGTGCAGGGATTTATCTTTGGACGAAGGCCTTACAAAATTAAGTATGAAGGCATGTGTGTATTTCCTTGCTTTTTTCAGGAAAGTATGATTTCACTGTCTAGAGTCCATTTCACTGCTTCATTTCGTCAGTAGAACGGCAAAAATAAGAAATTGGGAGACCATTGTGCAATAATATATGGAAAGGTATATTCATAATGTACATGAATGACATTTGTATATTTCAGATTTTTTAGTTTTTTGTGCAATAAGCCTGTGCATTCTTGTAATTTGAAGAATTTCAGCCATGTTAATCTAATTGAAAATAACATGGCAGAGAAACATCCAAATATAAGAGGCCACGCACTTTATAAGCCAAACTAGAAGCAATCCAAGATATACAAATGTCATTCATGTACATTATGAATATACTTTTCCATATATTATTGCACAATGGTCTCCCAATTTCTTATTTTTGCCGTTCTACTGACGAAATGAAGCAGTGAAATGGACTCTACTTTTAGTAGGAAAATTTCTTCGTTCTGCCGATAAACCCAGACAATTGTGGATTCAACTACACAAAAAGAATGCTAAAATACCAAGGAATCTATTGAAGTAGGTATCTTAAGTGTAAGGGGCGTAGATAATTCTCCCAAGTTGTAATCATACAGGCAAAAGATTGGGCTCGGTCCAGGACTTGTCACTATAGTCCTGGCACGGCACAGGAAGTTGTATTGTTACAAAAATGGATTTTTGTTTATTGTTTAGCCTCTGCTACAAAGTTATGATTACTAATTAGGATCAGTTTCAGATTCTTGCGGTTAATTCCAAATTTGTTATCTCTAATTCCAGCCGCCACTTAACATTCCAATTAAACTCTTGGAATTCACTTTGGTCACTTTGGAATGCCAAGAATCACGAATCTTGCATAACTTTCAATTAATGTAATCACGATTTCTGTCTATGTTACAAATTATCGGTCACGAAGCATTACAAATTGTCTATAAATAGCATATTACAACAGGGTCTATTAATAGTCACCTATATAAGGTGAAGGCAATATAAGCAGGAGTCGAGCTGACAGGTTCAGTTCGAATTTGAGGGGATCTGGAGAACACATAAAATGACCTGAGGACAAAAGCAGCTTTTCTAGATGGGCTATCAACAAGTTGTTGAGATTAGTTCGACTTGGGTGAGAGATTGTAATCTTGTCAGGGAAAAACGGAGCCTCTGTTGTTCAAATATATTGGCAACATGGACAGTCATACTAAGGTTTATTTATTATTTGACAATGTTGGCTATTGTGAGAATTAATTGGTTAATCAGTTTGATTTAAATCTGGTTTTAGACAAGGTAAGAAGTTTGGTCTTTTGATGAAGAAATATTTCTCTGTTGATTTGTAATTCATTATGTTTTAACATTAGGCGAAGAACATTAGCATGTATTTTGGTTGTAAAACTTGTATTTTATTTTAAGGAGGTAACTGTTGTAACTTGGACAATTGAATTGTTGCGTTATGTAAGAATTGCTTTTTAGGGCAACATAATTGTTTGATGATTTTACTGGTTGAAATGTATTTGCTGAAACAGTGTGTAATTAAGATTTGACTGAATTATTTGATAAACATGGGTTTTCATCACAACCTTTGTTCAAACAACAGTTAAAGTTTCAGTTAATTTGTTTAAAAGTGAATTGGTGAGAAATTAATGACAAAAATTATGGGCTAGATTTTGAATACTAATAACAGAGGTTGAGATGGAGGCTAGGGTTTCAAGATATGAATTAATTAGCAGAAGTTAGTACATGTTTTGGATGTTTTAAAATATATTTGACCAAATGATGTTTTTAGGTACTGAATTATTTTACAAATTTTGTACATCTTTAAGTTAGGTAAAATCATTAGAAAATGAATCTTATGTCATTTATTTTAATGGGCTATTTCCATTTTAAGTATTGAGATTTATTTCATTTTTGTTTTAACTGACTAATGGATTACTTGAATCAATTAGAAATAATCTGTCATTTTGGTACAGGATATTACTTCCTTATGATTATGTTATACTTCTCACAGCTCGTGGTTGAATAAAGACTTATTGTGAATCATGGCCATGTTAAAGGGGAGGTTTGGTTGCCCTAATTATGTAGCATTTTACCATTTTCCAAATCAGTGTTTTAAATGTTGAAGTAGACTCAATCTAATTTATGCTTATAATTTGCAGTATGCAATTTATGTTTTGTAAGTTTATTATTACCGATCTGTGTTATTGCTTATCTCGTCATTCTCCAGTGTAAATTAATGTCAATTGATAATTTAAAAGTATTGGAATTAACTTATCTTTATTTCTGAAACCATTTCTAATGTTTCCGCCATTATTTGAATTATATGCTTTCTCCTTCTGAATAACATTGACTCAGAGGTTTTAGACAGAATTGCTCATACAAATGATTTAGAGAATGTTATAATTGTAAACCAAATTAATGATTCACCATGGGTAGTATGTTTTTGTTTACACATGAACACAGCATTTGTTCTACTAATGAGGGCAGATGGAGATGAACATATTTAGAGAATGTTATAATTGTAAACCAAATTAATGATTCACCATGGGTAGTATGTTTTTGTTTACACATGAACACAGCATTTGTTCTACTAATGAGGGCAGATGGAGATGAACATATTTAGAGAATGTTACAATTGTAAACCAAATTAATGATTCACAAGGGGTAGTATGTTTTTGTTTACATATGGACACAGCATTTGTCCTACTAATGAGGGTGGATGGAGATGTATTACAAATTTACCCGATGCTCAAATTGCAACAATCTTTATCTTGAAATATTTTCTCTTTTATATCCTATTCCGCTTTAAAGTCTTATGTTACCAGGTTTGAGTAAAATTAGATATTTGAAATGAAACTAGTCTGTTTATATTTAAATGAATATTATACATTTTTGTAAACGTAAACATGTTTTTGCA